AGTGTGAAGTGCGAAGTGTGAAGTGTGAAGTTTGGAGTGTGAAGTTTGGAGTGGGAAGGAAGCAGTGAGAAGTGAGAAGTGTGAAGTGTGGACTGTGAAGTGTGGAGTGTGAAGTGCGAAGTGAGAAGTGTGAAGTTTGGAGTGTGAAGGGAGCAGTGAGAAGTGAGAAGTGTGAAGTGAGAAGTGTGAAGTGTGGACTGTGAAGTGTGGAGTGCGAAGTGCGAAGTGTGAAGTGTGAAGTGTGAAGTGTGAGGTTTGGAGTGTGAAGGAAGCAGTGAGAAGTGTGAAGTGTGGACTGTGAAGTGTGAAGTGTGAGTGAAGTGGGGAGTGTGAAGTGCGAAGGGAGAAGTGTGAAGTGTGAAGTTTGGAGTGTGAAGTTTGGAGTGGGAAGGAAGCAGTGAGAAGTGAAGTGCGAAGTGTGAAGTGAGAAGTGTGAAGTGTGGACTGTGAAGTGTGGAGTGTGCAGTGTGAAGTGTGAAGTGTGAAGTGTGAAGTGTGTGAAGTGTGAAGTGTGAGGTTTGGAGTGTGGAGGAAGCAGTGAGAAGTGAGAAGTGTGGAGTGTGAAGTGTGGAGTGTGAAGTTTGAAGTTTGGAGTGCGAAGAGTGCAGTGTGCAGTGTGAGGTGTGGAGTGTCGAGGGAAGGACACGGTCGGGACAGGGTGTCTTTGAACTATAGGTCATTTATGTTTGGGAAACTTCCGCCGCCGGCTTGCCCGGGTCTATGTTATAGATTGATATAGTATGTCACGTCCCTAGTTTTGTCAACCATCCCTAACACAATATAATAGTCACGTTCACTTACCGAAAGTGAAGAGTTCCCTCATGCTCGGCACATGTCGAATCACCTGACCGAACGGTTTTCTACCATTGTTTACCCTACACAGGCCTCTAGGCAGAACCTTGCAACAGTCTGGTCGGCAGGCAAGAACCAAAAATGAACAGGCCGTTTGCCTTTCGCTACTTTCGCAACACATCAAGCCTTGCTTATGACTTGCATAAACTCACAAACTTGACGACAAGCAACGGGCGTCAACTTGCCCACAACGTGTGCACTGGCAACCCGGAAAAGACTTTGTTTGATTCATTGTTGATTCATGGACGGAAACAGCATTGGTTTCCAGTTCCACATACTTTGAGACAAAACTGCTTGTGCCAAGCAGCATCACCTATTACACCAACGTTGGTGACAAAAACCAACTCCAAGTGCTCCCGGCTGGACAGCAGAAATTCGAATAGACACCAAACTCCTGAGCACGGAAGTCTCTTTTTTTTGAGGGGAAAGTGCGAAGAATTACAAAAGAGCGCGAGAATGACAAGTACATTGCAGCTGAATCCCGGCACTTCTTGGCATGCCCAACATTTGGTCGAGTCACTTGTGAGAGGTTGCACTTCCTGGTCCAAGACCATCGCAACTCCTTTGATTCCCGCAGTCAAAGTTCGTGCAAAGGCGCTCTCCATGGGATCATTTCCCAAGTCGGCTCCAATGTTCCACTGGTTGTTCGCCTGGGCAACATTCACAAACAGATCAAAACCCAGCTTTACAGGCTGCCTCGCACCAAAAGGAGAATGGAACATCCTCTGTTTTGCCACGCAAGTTCAAACATATCTTCAGCATGGAGGTCCATCTACCTACAACGGCATGATACGGCATGCATGCTCCACTGCCATGCTTTTGAAACAAGCATGAAACATCATGAAACAGTGGTGATGGGCTTCTCCTCCAAGTTGCGAACGAACAAATCCAATATGCTGCATCAATCCAAGAAGTGGGCCCCTCTTTGGACAGAGCATGGCACTGGATGGAATGCACGAAATGCGGAAAGCTGGTGCCCCAGGAATGGGACCTTACCCAGAGCAACAAGGAGGCTTGGAGCAGCTTGGACAGAGGGCGCACAAACAGTAGAGGAAAACACATCAATTTTGAAAACTTTACCAAAAGCAAGTGGCAAGTGACACAAAGTAATCCACCCGCCTGCCACCCCAAAGGGCTACAAAGGAAACTCCTTTGCTTTGAGTCAGGGGCGTGACTATGTTGGCGACCACAAAGTGCATATTGCGCTCCAGTATAAAGCCTGACTTTGAAACGTTGGCACGGCACATAATTGTATCTTACAATCTTGCGCAGGCTTAAAGAAATATAGACACATATTCAACCTGTCCAATCAGATCCCAGCATATGAAATAAACTATGTCAGTAACAAAAGTGTTTGGAACCTTCACTATTTTCGCCAGGAACTATGGCCCAACAAACCTTAGCTGGTCAGAGCAGAGAGGCTCTCGAAGTGCTTCCACAAACCGCGCAAATTCAGAACCTGCAAGCCCTGGTTGCGAGGATGGGTTGCATCAGGCCCTGTGAATGGCTTGCAGTTGATCTGCTTCCGGTACTCATCCAAAGCCTCCGAAAATGACGTTCTACGATATAGCCGTTGGATCAGCCACGCGATCGGAAAGTGCAGCAGCGCAGCAGCAGCAACCAGAGGAAGGGTCACATAAATTGCAGTAACCTTTGTCAAGAATGTCTTTTCCAAGCGAAACACAAGACATCACTTAAATTTGCAAAACAACAACCAAATAATTATAGAAACTGTGCAAAAAAAAACAGCAGCTTGTTTCAAGCCAAAGCGCGAAAACATGTCCCACACCGTTTCCCGATGTGACTGCTACGTTGATGATGACAGGTAGCATTGCCGTCACTGATATGCATGCAGTGAGCAAGCCGAGCAGGTAAAAAAAATCAGCGGCATGCAAAGATCCCTTGCACGTAGCGCAATCAAATGGGGGATTCGTGTCTTGCAACAGAAGCTTTCTACGTGCAATATTGCGAACTTTGATTGCGTTGGATTTCTTCTGCTCATAGTCCAGCCATACCAACCCCGTTCCCTTTGCCCGATAGCGCACTCGCTGGTGCATCAAGCGAGACAGGCTTTTATGAAGATCAACGATAGGGCCTTGCACTGAAAGCGTGAAAGTCCTCTTGCTTTCAGCTTGTGTTGGATCTGCCAAATCTGACTTCGCATCGAGGATCATCAAAGGAGCGTGCAAAATCTCGAACGCAAGGAAGGTCAAAATGACAACAACGGCTCCACCTGTCAAGAGTGTGATAAGTTCCGTCTTCCTGCGTGGCAGAACATGGCAAACGTCCTCGTTCCCATCAGACCAAGCATTGAAGATTCCACATTTTGGACAATCGCCATTCTGAAAGTGGAAGTGAGGTTTGCCTCAGCTACAAACAGGGCAGGGGTCAAAACATGCTAAAACAGATTGCACACAAAATCCCAAAGGGCCAAAGGGTTCCAAGGGAAGGGGTAAACATGCTGCAGGACGAGCTGCAGAACATGCACGTCTGGAAAATGTTCTCCAAGGGCACCATATCGACATCGCGGAAGCGTTGGGTTGCAATCCTTGCGTCTGGCATCTGCAGGCTCTAAGCAATGACCAAAAATGGTACAAAAAAGGGTTGAACTATGTTGAACTGGATGTCTTCCCCAAAACAATGTTTATTGGCTATACTCTCCTGCTTGCTGATTTGGTTCTCAAAAACCTACTGCATTGATCTGCATGGAGAGCTGAAAGAAAAAAACACACGGAATCAGTGAGCTGAGAGTCTGGTAGTTGGAACACTTGCAACGTTGCGTCAAGCCTTTCAACCTGCATGCTAATGACACACTGAGACTGACATGGCAATATACATTGCACCTGAAAAATCAATGTTCCTTGGGCCCACTGGAAATCTGCTTTCGCAATTGGAGGACAAATTGAGGCGGTTGAAGAATACTGGCAAAGAATCTGCACTCATTTGAACAAAATGAAGGAGCCTCGACTGCTTGCTGTTATAATAGATTTTGATAGATTTTGTACAGCTGCTGTGCCACCAAGCAGCGCTGTGGCTGTCTTGGAGCACCGAAGGTGTTCAGAGCTCACGGCTTTAAGAGTTCCGTCCTTTGTGACGTTGAAAGTGACGCCCCGGGTGCAGTTCCGGCAGGAAACCGTCAAAGAGTCGATCTCGAAGCTGTCCTGCTGCGACTTAGTCACTTCTGGTTTTCAAATATAAAGTCATGTAGCAACGTGTGACAACCTATATTTCACATACCCAGCAGAACTTAGAAAACCACATGCATGGGATGTGGAAACATGTGTAAATATCGAAAGCCGAAACAATCATAAAAGGCAGGGAAAGTTTTCGCACACGTATTCTTGTGAACTATACTATTTGTGATATCATTATCTCAAAAAGCGGTCACAATCCAGGCATCCAAAATAACGGTACGCGTTGCATAATATGTTGGAAAAGACTCACACTTCACTTGATGTGCGGGAAGAAACTGCCGTGACATTGGCTGACATTTTGGGACTATCTGACAGTGACACTCACACTGACGCCCTCAGCCCGTCCTTGGCTGCCAGGACCTGCAAGTTGTTGACCGGTGGTTCGTAGTCGACACTCACTTGGTCGACCACCACAGAGCTTGGGCGGGTGCTGAGCAACGCGCTGGACCAGGAGCGCAAATGGATCCCTGAGAGACGTACCTTCTCCTTTGGGCAGGCTGCAAGGGAGAGAAGACCGGAGCTCAAGCGACCACTGGCGTTGAGGGCTGCATCCTCTGCAACATGGAACGTGCTGTTTGAGCAAAGGGCAGAGCATCCATTGTTTTGCAGCTCCACCCCATGGCCACCGACAAGTCCGTCAAAAAGAACCTGCGACCGATCACGTAGGTGGAGGCAGCTTGCTGCTAGCACACTGGAATTGTCGAGACCTTGGGCATGTTTCACCACCAAAGTAGACTGTGCTGAAAGAAGCACTTGACCATCTACACGACCTCCTGAGCCTGATCTGTCTGCAGTGGAGTTGCCGATGGACATCGAGCTTCTGTGCAAAGACAAACCAAGAGCTGAAAAAGCACCACCATCTGCCCCTGCATGGGTGCTGAACACGGCCACAGTAGATGAATTTACAAACGCAATGCTTCCTGCAAAGAACCCTCCTCCAAGTTGCCAGGCCGCCGCATTTTGGATGCTGACTGTGGAATGGCTGATAAATGTCCTGCCTTCGGCAAAGAATCCTCCTCCAGACTGTCCAGCTGTCGCATTCAGAATGATGAGTCTTGAGCCAGTGGACACCGTCAGGCCCTTTTCAGCAACAAAACCTCCACCCTTTCCTGTTTCGGTGCGGCTGTTTGAAATGTTTACAGTTGAGTTCCCAGCTATCTCAACCTCCCCAAGGCAATTGACACCTCCTCCATGACTTCCAGCGGTCACTTTCTCAAGACTGACACTTGAGCTGTTGCTCACCTGCAAGCGTCCGTCGGTTTGGAAGCCTCCACCCTGCCTTCCCGATATTGAATTGCAAATCCTCAGGATTGACATCTCATCAATCACAACCTCATCAGCTGCAGAAAACCCTCCACCAAGAATCCAAGCTGTGGCATTTTGGATGCTAACTGTGGAGCTGCTGATCACGATCCTGCCTCTGGCATCGAATCCTCCTCCACTCGATCCAGCTACTGCATTCCCAATGATGAGTCTTGAGCCGGACACCCTCACGCCCTTTGGAGTCACAAAGCCTCCCCCATTTCCTGATCCAGCGCGGCTGTTGGAAATCTTGAGCGTCGAATTCCCAGCTATCTCAACCTCCCCGATGGCGAGGAAACCTCCTCCATGGTTTCCGGCAATCACATCCTGAAGGCTGACAACTGAGCTGTTGGACACCTGCAAGCGTCCGTTCACTTGGAAGCCTCCACCCTGCTCTGTCGCTCTTGAATGGGAAATGCGGATGCTTGACATCCCATCAACGACAACCTCATCCAGTGCAGCAACACCTCCACCGTATTGTTGGGCGGTGGCATCTTGGATGCTGACTGTGGACCTGCTGATCACGATCCTGCGCGTGGCAAACCATCCTCCTCCATGCCTTCCAGCTGTGGCATTCCGAATGACGAGTCTTGAGCCGTTGGACATTTTCAAGCCCGATTCAGTGCGAAAGCCTCCCCCGTCTCCTGATTCAGCGCGGCTGTTGGAAATGTTGACCGTGGAGTTCCCGATGATCTCGACCTCTCCAAAGGCAATGAAACCTCCTCCAAGGCTTCCAGCGGTCAAATTCTGAAGGCTGACAGTTGAGCTGTTGGTCACGAGTAAGCGTCCAGTTTGGAAGCCCCCACCCTGCTCTCCCGATCTTGACATTGAAACGCTAACATTTGACATCCCGTCAATGACAGCTTCGTTCCCAGCAAAAAAACCTCCACCATATTGCTGAGAGGTGGCATATTGGATGCTAACTGTGGAGCTGCTGATCACGATCCTGCCTTTGGCATAGAATCCTCCTCCAAACTTTCCAGCTATCACATTGCTAATGATGAGTCTTGAGCCAGTGGACATTTTCAAGCCCTTTTCACTGTCAAAACCTCCCCCATTTCCTGATCCAGCGCGGCTGTTGGAAATCTTGACCGTCGAATTCCCAGCTATCTCAACCTCGCCAATGGCAAGGAAACCTCCTCCATGGTTTCGAGCAGTCACATTCTGAAGGCTGACGACTGAGCTGTTGGTCACCTGCATGGCTCTCAGGGCTGAGAAGCCACCACCATTCTTGCTGCATCTGGCGTTCCGGATGAGGACTGTTGAGTTCTCCTTGCCCATTCAAGAAGGGCACAAGGACCAATTGGGGAACAAAGATGCCCTTGATTGTCGAATTAGAACACCAAATACGAATTGAACACGACATGGCTGAGACTGGCCCCATCCATTTTCACACCTCCACACTCCCCAGTATGGCAGGGAATGCACTGAGTGCCCCACAGAAATGTAGACATTGCCCTTGACATGGAAGCCAGCACCAGACATCGCTGAAACGTTTTCGATCACAACTTTAGAGTCTTGGCGCACATTCCTGGGGGACAGCATGTCAGCAAAGGATTGAAACATGGACAGCAGAAGAGTCATGAACAGCTTTTCTGTATCTCTTAGATCTTTTCCAAAAACGTCAATCTTACTGTCTTAGCGAAATCACTGACAATCACATTCCTTTCCACTGTGTCCTTGTCACTTGAATCTACTCTCATTCTCTTTGTGAACAGAATATAATCTGCCGTTTCCACATTTCATGTGGACGACAAATGACAACACTTCACCTTCTGCAATATCCTGGACCTGTTCGTTTGTTCTTATGGAGGCACAGTCCTTAAGGAAAAGGGCCCCTAGTCCACACCATGGGCCAGTTCAGGGCGTTCCCACATCTTGCACACATTTTGTTTTTGGTTTTAGAATTCATACCATAAGAAAATAAAGTTGCAAAAACCAGAACATGTTTCCAAACGATTATCTTCATTCACTGAAACACAATGAAAAACAGTTCAACGTACTTGATCAAATACCGCTGCCGCTTCAACATGCATATAGCTGGCACACGCACATTCTCACCTTGTTGATCATATGGGACCCCTCAGCAAATTGCCGCATGTGAGTTGGATTATATATAACTCATTCCAACCCTTTCTGGGTCCTTTCCAACTGGGAAGTGGGGCCTGGGAATTGCAAGAGTTGCCATCGCTCGCCATTTGTTTTCTCTGCCGCTTCCCCACAGCAGTGTTTGACATCCATGTTTCACTGCGACTCACATATATATATATTATTAAAAGGTTAAGAAGTGACACATATTACAAATAATAATAAACTACCATGCTCCACTGAATCCCACAGCCCTCCGATGCGCTGTGCTGATTGCCACTCAGGGTCAAGTCTCCCTCAGCTGCAAAGCCACCACCATGCATCGTAATAGCTCCAGCACCTCTCACCTTCGTTGGATGTTGGATCGTATGGGTATCTGCAGCATCCCGACTTCGGCTTCACAGCCAGTGTTCGACAGCTTACTCCAAAATTATCCACGGGCATTTGTGCAGTTTCAAAACTTCATGTCAGACACAAGAGCTATAGACAAAATCCTGAATTTGAAAACAATCCAAGTAGCTGTCAGGCGGGACCTGGTCAAAGTGAATGACCCCTCACTGAAAAAGGCGCCACCAGATACGTTAGAGTTAGAGTTTGGATCTTCTGGAGCTTCATGCCACGCTTCCACATGAGCATCGGCAAAATTCACAGTCCTCAGTTCGGTTCGTAGTTTCAAATGGAGCTCTGAACTCTCAACACCCCCCCCTTTGCATCGCAAACGTTTGCAAATACTGTAGAAACGTGTTGTGTTCAGCCCGCCGGTGCAGGCAGGGTTCTTGGCTGCCAGGCGTAGCGAAGACATGTGAATTTGCCTCAGCTGTGCTAGTGTGGGTTTCCAACAGAACCCAGAAAGATGCCCATGCTATAAAGAAGAGCGGAGCCTTCCAAGCACTTATTCTAGACGCCATACAGCCCCAACAGGTCTAGGACCTTGAAAGATTGCAACCTACATGCTGGTCGTCCAAAGCTGGACTGTTGGCGACCCAACTGTATTCCTCCAAGGCACCCGGTGATGCGTAGCTCCCCGGATGTCAAGGTCAGAATCTCCGCTGTCGCCGGGCGCAGCCGCACGGGTGCCCCGTGGGGCCCCTGCAGCTCGCAGAGTGGAGCTTCCGCGGTGGGCCTTGGGTCTGCTCGCAGTCGCATGTAGTTTCACGGATGTCTCCAGGGTTTCTGCAAGGCTTGAAGGTTTCAATTTTGAAAGGTTTCTAAGGGTCATTTAAGAAAGGTCAGGAGAAGACCATGAAACACAACATATCCGATCCAATGTTCTCTAATGTTCATTGCCGGAGTCCCTGTAAACGTGGAAACGACCCTGGCCTAAAAATGACTTCTTCTGGCAAGCTGGCAGCAACCCGCCAGCGTGGCGTTCTTCAAACCACACGTGACCGAGCCACTCAAGTTGAAAGCACGACCCCGCCGTCAACTTTCTCCGTTCGCAAAGCTCCGCCCAGCCAATCACTTCACAGTCCTGCACAAACTCTGCCGTGTGTCGCCGATCCCCTTGAATAGACCCAGAAAGATCATGACAAACCCCGAAGTGTGAGTTTGAGTCCTGGAAAGTCCAGGATCCGAACTGGAAAGATCACACAGAACGGGAGAAACATCGATTTTCTGCGGCGAACATTGAATTGTGAACCCCAAAGCCCACCTGCAGATGTCTGGCACCCGTTCCATCTGCCGGTTGGGACACAAAGTGGCTACCTTGCAGCAGCCCAATCAGAAAATTACTGACAAGACAAGATTTGTTCCCATCAGGCAGCACCAAGCCCGTTCACCTAGCAACTTCGCGAGTTGCCACTTCGCTTGATTACCAGCGGAAGATACAGTTCACTAGCAAGGGACGCAATACATCAACATCCGTTGTATAGTCAGACAATTCATGACCATACTTGCTTGACAAGCTGGCCAAGCCTGGGTGCTTGAACTCGCTTGGACCACCACCAAGCCCCGAAAGCGAAGCGGTGCTCTGCTGTCCAGCGAAGGTGCTCCGCTTTGAGACGCGCAGCTCAGCAGAGGCAAAAACGAAAAGAAACGCTGCGAAGAGCGATTGCATCATGCCGCTCATGGCGCGTCAATGTGAATCATATCGTGGTGTTTCTTCAGGTAAGGGATAGCATCAAGCACCATTACTTTAGCAAGTGCATTGCAGGTGTTGTGCTCACCATGTGTTTTGAATGCTGCGTCCGATTGAGGATTCTGTCATGGACCATGTCGTGCCCATGGGTCTGATTCAGCTGGTGTATACCTTCAGGCCAGGGACATCCTAAAGCTATCCACCTATCAACCACAACAGCTGTTGGAACATGGGGGAAATGCAGGGTGACCTTACGAAAATGAAACTTCAGGCAGACTTCCCGGGAACCCCTGCTGGCGTTCCTGATGCAGCAGGAGAAAATGAGGACGAGGGTTGGATGGTGATGGATCTTCTTTGGTGATTACCAAGTGCAATTGTTTGCCAGCAGTGCCAGAACGAACTTTTGATTGACGAGTCACCTGCTCAAATACTGCACCACCGCTTCTGCATCGCAGCGTCGGCTGCTGTTGTCTTGCGCTGTCTGCACGTTTGAAAGACAATGGTAATTGAAATGTAATCAATACTTCAGATCTTGAAGGCATTTGCTCAGAAGCGACTGGCTGGATGGTCCAATGGTGGTTGTGACCAGTGATTTTGGCGAGGTGTATAATGAACCAGAAGCACAGTTGAATTGGACCAAAACAAGACATTTCTGAGTCAGTTCGTAATTCTTGCTGCCAGTCTTGATCTCAAAACGATAGAATCAGCCCATTCAACAAACACATACAAACACAACATGATTCATGAAATCCATACTTCAGACCACAGCTATATGATACTCGGCGTGGTCCTAATAACATGACGCATTGGACGAGAATCAAGAAACTTGACGTGCAGAGGCCGCGTGCGCCTCAACAAATCACACTTTCGCAAGTACGACCTTGCACTGCGCAGGGCGCCTAATCTATTTTGTCACTGGTAGCACAAAGTACTCAACATGCACTTCCTTGGAAGTAGAAAATGTAGAAAGAATGTGATTCTGACTGTTTTGTGGCAAACACATGAAAGGAAGTATGAAACCGTCAAATGGAAGCCAAAGAAAACTGGGAATGGTGGAAATTGACTAAAATTAATTCCAGGGCTGAAGTCACAGTAATTTTATTTAATGTGATCAAATCGCTGGAAATACATGGAACATCATGGAACATCATGGAATATCATGGAACGCCATAGTTGCTCGCCCACAGAGTTCTGCCAGTTTGCGCAAATTTGCAAAGAAAAAGGCAAAGGCAGAGTCGATAGCCAAGTTGAAGACATGTCCAATGGTGAGGGGCAAAATCCCAAATTAAATGGATGTCTCGGGTGCAATTTCGCCTTCCTCAGATTCAAGATAGGTTCAAGCTACGTCAATGGCAACAAAACGCAGCAAGTAATAAAACCTAGAAAAATATAGGTGTTTTCGGAATTTGACCTATATCGACTGATTTTACCCAAAACACCTATAGATACTACTTTGGTCTTCGATTTTAGGACTTTGATTCCATGTTTTTGGGCTTGGTGAGACAAAGGCCAAAACATGTTTGCAGCGCATCAATCGACTATAGGGATAAAACCCGCAAAAAAAAAACGCAAAAAAACGCAAATCCTGAAATCTCCTTGTTTTAGGTAGTTTTCAGTTTTTTTTGTTGTTCCAAAAATCATCACGGTTTGTGTACCCGGCCGTAGTGCTGAGATTTTCCCAGAAACATACATGTTTGGAACAAAGCGAATCATTTTTTTGTTTGTTTGACCTATCTTTATATAACGACCATGTTTTCCTCGGCAGTGGAGGGTCGACTTTTCAAACGGCAAAGAAATGCCAAACCTTTTTCGCTGATAGCTGTGGGTCAGCTCGGTCAGACGAGTCACGGCCTTGTGCGTGCTCACAGCATGTACAAAATTGTCTACATGGAAAAGATCTGACGCTTTCCGGAAGCAACAAGTGACTTAAAACTCTTGTCATTGAGGCTTACGACTGTTGCGCTGCCTCGGCCCAGGCTGTCCACAAGACTTCCAGTTGCTTTTTCCACGTTGGCCAAATTTCGCATCAACATTTCAGCCATCAGTGCTCGGATTTGCTCATCCATTCGCTCAAGGCTTCCCAACTCGGAGATGATGTAATCGAAGATGTCTTTCCTGACATGGTCCCATGAACCTACGCAGTCCAAGGTCCGAACAAAAAAAAGGTTACTGAAAAACAAATCAGAAAAAAGGTGCGGATTCAGCCAAAATGGGGTTTCTTGTCTTTCTCAGAGGATGCCCCACACGTGACAACTTGCAGAGACTTGATCTTCTTACCCACCTCCAGCGCAATGTCAAAGGAACTGCAGCCATCCTACAGTGAAGAGCACCGTGGCATCTCTTGGAATGTCCATGTATCAAGCATACCCTAAATCAAAAATATTAGCAACTGCCCTGTAGAGTATCCATTTTGAAATTTAACAAATCGATTTATGATTTTTTTGAGCACAAACTATGGGAGTAATTAAATAAAATGCTCATGCAAGAAAGTGGCTGACCATGCCCAAGTACCTTGTACTCTTGGAAAAAGTTTGAACAAAAGGATTTCAAGACAATGCTCAAGTATAAGGGATTAGGCAAAAGGACCCAAGTAAAGGACATCAAGTAAAATCACCAATGCTTATTTTTGCCGTCCCCATCTAGTGTATTGAGGACCAGGCTGATTACTTGTGGAACATGTCTTACTTGAGTGTTACTTGAGAACCTGGCTGATTACATATTGAAATGGTGCTTTTGTTTATTGTACCGGGTCGAGTCTGGTACAATAAGCAAAAACACCATTTCAGTGATGTCCCCCCAAAAAATATATGGAATAGGTGTTCGTGTAAAAATACGTAGTATCGGGCCAGGTGCGGTACAATAAGCAGAAACACCATTTCGGTGATTTTCCACCAAAACAATGGACATTGTGTTTTTGTTTCTTGTACCCGTTCAGGTGTTGCACAATAAGCAAAACGTCAGGTGTGGCACAATAAGCAAAACATGTCTTTTTTAAAAGAATTGGAGATATTGTTTTTTTTTCTACATGTGTACTTGAGAGAAAAGAAAGCCTTTGCAGATTGTATACTTTTTATTACTTGAGGATTTGCCAGAGCAATTGTGTTACTTGTGCTACTTGTATTCTATTGAACATGGAAGGTACTTCGCTCATCTCCTTGAAAAAAAACAGTAAACCCATATTTATTAAGTTTTGAGGTTTCTGTGCTATTTGTCATTCATCAAATGAAAATACACTGGATTTGGTTGGTTTTGATGTTGTTCTTTGTTATTTGTTGATGATTTTTGGTTAATTTTTTTACGCATGTGTTTTATTGTGTTTTTGGCATTAAAAAAAAAACGCACACACTTTTTCAAAAAGCGCATGCACTTTGAACAAATGTATACATTTTTGAAAAAAATGCGTAAACAGTGCCTAAGGAAATCAGTGAAGATGTGTGTTTTTTAATGAAAAACAAAAATAACAGCAAGGTTACATCATCTAACAAAATGAAACACAAGAAAAATGCACAAGTAATACAAACACGCTAAAATAAAGACATGCACCTTGAAGAATAACAAACCAAGTTACAACACGTGTTTCTAGCCACACATCCAATTTCTCAGGTAAAAATGCACTCAATCTGAGGCATCCACCACCGCATCTAGTGAAACCATGCTCCAATTTTAAAAGGAAACCAAAGACCTTCTCCAAGTTGGTCTATACTACAGCGGCTTCAATGCCCACAAGGCCAAAATGGCGACCAACTACAAAACAACAATCTGAGTCACACATGAGTTACTTGAAAAAATTACAAAAATTACTTGAATTACATGAATTACTAAACTTTGGAAATTGAAATTCTACACCATGCAAACCTATCCACAGTCTGGAACTTACACTTGGACATCCTCAAGTAAGAACAATGACACACAGAAACATCTCACAAGTAACAGAAACATATCTCAATAAAACAATTGTCACAAGCAAAAACATCAAAGAACAAACTCACGTAAACACAAAACAAACACCTCACAAGGAATGGAAAACCAAATGCAAGATACACAAGCAAACACGCAACTGACATGCCCAAGTACAAAAAACTCAAGTAACATACACAGGTCCCGAAAGAAACAGCAACTCAAATAAAAAACATGTTCAATAATCCCCACCTCCTTTTACTAAAAGTACCCCAAATACCAAAAACCAGGGTCCGCGTTAAATTTTGGGAAATTTCAGACAGACCAGTTTGATTTTTAATTGGTCCCCTTTCGAAAACAAATTAAACATGAAGGTACCATTTCAGGGTTTCGCCCCCTGACAATAGCGACTAATCGGCCCGGTTTTTTTAAGGGTCCATCTTTTAAGGTATAGAAACAAATCATATTTTGTATTAAGGCGCTTAATGTAATATTAGGGGAAAGAATCGAAATCCAACTTTTGGCAATATCTTAATTAAATTTTAAAACAGAATCTAACGATTTTGAAATAGAAAAAACCGTTTTTATATTAGGGTTTTTAACTCAATACTAGGGGAAAACTTCGAAATCCAATTTTGGGCAATATTTTACTGTCATTAAATTTTAAACGGGAATCTAATCGATTTTGAAATAGAAACGAATTATTTTTTAACATAGGGTTTTTAATGTAATATTAAGGGAAAAATTCGCAACCTAATACTAAATACATCTAAATACCCCCTAATACTAAGAACTCCTCCAAGTCTTTATTATTTGGGGGAGGGGGCAGGACGGTTTTGCAATAGTGGTAGAGGATTTTAAAGGAAATTTCACAAAAACACAACCATCACCACAATCAAACCTGAATAAAACATGCAAATCAACGTTATAATTTAACAATGCCAACAGGACACACCGTTCAAATTGTTAAGCAAATAAAAGCAAACAAACAACAAATGCATCATCAAAGGAAGCTTAAAAGTCAAACTTCCGACGGTATGGGGAGAAGCAGAGGCGGGAAGAGTCAGAGAAGAGAAAGAGTCAGAAGAAAGAAGGCAGGTGCGCGTAAAGGTAGAAAAGTCGCGAAACACTATGTTTTTTTCCAATGATTTGTGGCTCCGGGGGGTCGGCAAGTAGGCTCGCTAAAGCGGCGGATGCGGAGCCGAGTGGCCAGATGAGAGATGAAAAATTGCACTCCATTGTGCCGCGGAGCACATGTCCAAGTCAAAATGCTAAAAACACCTCAACCTCGGAGCACTTTTGGAAGTTGAGATGTTGAAAATTGCACACCCCTGTGGCGTGAAGCACATTTGGAAGCAAAAAATCTGACGGTCTCAGACCACTTTTGGAAGTTGAGACGTTGAAAAAGTGCACGCTGTTGTGGCGCAAAGCACATTTCGAGTGTAAAAAACCGGCGGTCTCAAAACACTTTTGAAGTTAGGAAGTGGCTTTGGGTGGCAAGCACCTTCCCAAAAGTGAGTCAAAACGTGAGGGTTTTGTAGCAGTTTCAAAAACGTTGGCAGGCGTGGGACATTTGAAGAGGCTCTGCAAAGATGCATGAGTCAGACACGTTAGGAGGTCCGGGTGCTGATTTCCTGAGAAGGGTTGCTTCTGCACGGGAAAGCCTTTACATAGAGAAGCTCTTACACACAGAAGCTTTTTCACGCAGAAGTTTTTACACAAAAAAGCCTTTACACAGAAACTTTGACACACAAACGCGTTTACACAGAGAAGTCTTGACACAAGGACGCGTTTACACACAGAAGCCTTTACGAACAGAAGCTTTTTTGCACAGAGTAGCTTTTACACAGAGAAGTCTTTACACAGAGAAGCCTTTTAAACAGAAAAGTCTTGACACACGAAGGTTTTACAAGTAGAGGCTCTTACGGCGCACAAAAACTTTTACACAGAGCAGCTTTTACACACAGAAGCTTTTGCACAGGAAAGCTTTTACACACAGAAGCTTTCACACACAGAAGGTTTTTACACCGCGAAGTCTTACACAGAGGAGCTTTTACGCACAGACGCGTTTACGCAGAGGAGCCTTTACACAGAGGAGCTTTTGCACACAGAAGCCTTTTACGCACAGGACCTTTTGCACAGGGTAGCTTTTACACCGAGAAGTCTTACACAGAGAAGCTTTTACGCACACAGCTTTTACGCACAGACGCGTTTACACAGAGAAGGCTTTACACAGAGGAGGTTTTGCACACGGAATCTTGTACACACAGACGCGTTCACAAACAGAAGGTTTTACAAACAGGCAAATTTACGGCGCACGGAACATTTTACATAGAGCGCACTCCTTACGCAGTGAAGCTTGCACACACAGGGGAGCTTCTGTACACAGAAACTTTTACACACAGATTTTTTACACACAGAAGCTTTTACACACAGAAACTTTTACACACAGAAGCTTTTATACACAAAAGCTTTTACAAATAAAAGCCTTTACACAGAGGAGCTTTTGCGCACAAACGGGTTTACACGGAGGAGTCTTTACACACGGAGGCGTTTACGCAGGGAAGCTTTTACAAACAGAAGCTTTTACAGAGAGTAGTTTTGACACAGAGAAATCTCTACACAAAGAAGTCTTGACACAGAGAAGCTTGCACACACAGAGGCTTTGACACAGGGAAGCCTTTTACACAGAGCAGTTTTTTCACAGAGGAGCTTTTACACAGAGGAACTTTTGCACAAAGAAGCTTGTACACTTAGAGACTTTGACACAAAGAAGTCTTTTACACAGAGAAACTTTTACACACAGAAGCTTTTATATACATACAAAAAACTTAACACAGAGGAGCCTTTACACACAGAAGCTTGTATGCAAAGAAACTTTCACAAACAGAAACTTGTACACACAAAGGACGTTTTACACAGAAGCTTTTACACAGAAGTTTTTACACAAAAAACCTTTACACAGAGAAGTTTTTACCCACAGAAGCTGTTACACACAGTGAGAAGCTTTTACGCAAAGAAACTTTTACACACAGAAACTTTTAGACACAGAAGCTTTTACACACAGAAGTTTTTCCACAAAAAAAACCTTTACACAGAGGAACCTTTACACAAAGAAACTTGTACGCGCAAACGTGTTTACACACAGTAGCTTTTACGCATAGTATGGCGTAGAAGCTTTTGTGCAGAGAAGTCTTTACCCATCTTTCATCATGTCTCATTTTTCATGATCATTCACCATCTGTCATCTTCATATATTCGTTTTCATGCGCTTTTGGTCAACTCCCTCCGTCGTTTGTTTAGTTTTCATTTCGCACGGTGTTCTGTCCGTCCACGCTTCGTCCTCGCTCCCTCTGCGGCGAAGCAAACTAAACGAGAGCCCAGGAATAAATAGAGACTAGAAAGATGGGATAGAGTTAATTACATTAGCAGAAAAAGCGACTATAGAAGAATGAATGTAGATGTAGCTGACACAGCATGCTGTGGTGAATTGTGGCCCCTGATACCATCAGTGCGCACGATGTTTCAGTAAAAATCTTAGGTCGATTTCGTGCAGCACGCCACAAGATTGTTTAAAAAGGGCGCGTGCTGCGTGCCGTCTTGCTTTTGGGTTCTCTGGCCCACCTTGTTTTGAAGTTGTCATATTTTCCAATTCAAATTAAGCGATACGGGCAGCTGCCATAACAAATTAGCACCATTCATCCGTCAAGCATAGGTGGTTGATTGTGATATGGCATTGAGGAACGCTTATCTCAAAAATGATCGCTCACTTTCTGGGAAAACGCCCCCCAAAAAAAACGTACAGCACACAAGTCCCAAAAATATCTTGGAGTTTGAAGATCCAGGTTGGGCCATTGCATCTCAACTTGTGGCACGGTGGGGCAGACGCGCCCCTGCCGACAACGTCTATATAAATATATATATATATATATATATATATACCTCGGAACTCCTCCGATGCAAAAAAATCCAGTGATTTATGGTTTATGATCAAAATTACTGTTTTTTGGATTGAACCCAAAAAACGACTCAAATGCCTGAAAATCATGTTCTAAGATGATGTAAGAGGTACTGAATATGAAATATGTAATTCACAGTGTTTCACCCACACCTCAGCCATTTCTGTTCACTTTCCCTTTCCATACCGCTGCACCTATGTGCTTTCTAGGAGGACCTGTTTTATTTGATATGTTTGTGTGCATAGTGCATGCATGGACCATCAGTTTTGACACATTTTGGCAATGTGGGATTGAGAGCATGTGTTTAGCAAAATCCTGTGACCCAAATTACCCGCAAAACGCGCGCAAAAACTGTCAAACGCGCGCAAATCCTGATTTCTGGTCATTTAGGGTAATTTGGGTCGTTTTGCAAAGGACGCATTTTTGACCATGTTTGAAGGACAATGAGTTCAATCGCTCTCATGCCCATTCTGTCTGTTTGGGTTTACCAATTAAGCAGCAGGGCTTGCAACCCAGGACTGAACCGCTATTTTGGATTGATGGTTTCCAGATGGGGCAATCATGATGCCCACAACCTGTTTCTCCAAAGATCGCCTTGTTTTCATTTTATGACTTCAAATCGCTGCGTTTTTCTATGAAACGCCTCATTACCTTAAACGCCTAGAATTTTCCATGCAATGGAAGCTTGAGGTATATATGGCATTATCTGGCATTACATTGTATGGCTATCTATAGCCACATCCAGGGGCATCTTCCAAAGACCAAGTTAAGCCTGGTCGTTACCAAGGACCAAGTTAAACGTGGTCGAGGAAGCCTTGGGTATATAAGTTTGAAGAAAAACGCAAAATGTTCAACCTAAAACGTAGTTTTTGGTCAAACTAGATTTACTCATTTAGGAGACTCAGGATAGCCAACACAACATTAATTATGTCACCTTCACTTACCAAAGGAAAGCGTTGCATCATGTTCGGCACATGTCGAACCTGACCGACCGGTCTTCAAAGTTTTCTAGCCCTAAGCCTCTTTGAGGAGAACCTTGCGAGAGTCAGGTTGGCAAAAAAGGAGCAAACTGGAGCGATTTTGCCTAATCAAGCCCCTCACAAACTTGGCGAAAAGCAACTGGCGGCGTCTTCCCCACAACATGCGCACTGAGCACTAAAGGACGCTGTGTCATAGAAACAACAGTGGTTGCCGGGATCCACACACACTTTGAGACAAACCTGCTTGCGCCAAGCAGCATCACCTATCACGCCAGCGTTGGTGACGAACACCAGCTCCAAGTTCTCACGGCTGGACAGCAGAAATTCGAACAGACACCAAACTCCTGAGCACGGAAGTCCCCATCTCTTTGGGCAAATAAAGAGTCTGTGCAAAAGTGCGAAGGAGCAGAAAAGGAGCGTGATAATGACAAGCACATGACAGCTGAATCCCTGCACTTCTTGGCATGCCCAACATTTGGTCGAGTCACTTGTGAGAGGCTGCACTTCCTGGTCCAAGACCATCGCAACTCCTTTGATTCCCGCAGTCAAAGTTCGCGCAAAGGCGCTCTCCATGGGGTCACTTCCGAGCTCGGCTCCGATGTTCCACTGGTTGTTCGCCTGGGCAACTCGAACAAGGAAGCCCATCTTTCACAGACAGATCTAAACCCAGTTTTACAGCCTGTCTTGCACGAAAAGGAGAACGGAACATCCCATGCTTTGCCACAAAAGAATACAAAATTTCGAAAAGATCTTCCGCATGGAGGTCCATCTACCTACGACGTCACGCATGTTCCACTGCCATGTTTGCAAAACGAACATGAAACTCATGAAACATCGTTAAACACTGATGGGCTTCTCCTCTAAGTTGCAAACGAACAGATCCAATATGCTGCATCGATCCAAGAAGTGGGGCCTTCTTTGGACAGAGCATGGCACTGGATGGAATGCACGAAGTGCGGAAAGCTGGTGCCCCAGGAATGGGACCTTAACCCAAAAACCCTGGCAATGCTTGGGCAAAACAAGGTGCATAAAAGCTGGAAGAAACGCTTCAATCAAAACTTTGCCCAGAAAACAATGCCAAGTGACACAAAATAGTCCACCCGCCTGCCACCCCAAAGGGCTACAAAGGAAACTCCTTTGCTTTGAGTCAGGGGCGTTACTATGTTGGCAACCACAAAGTGCATATTGCGCTCCAGAATAAAGCCTGACTTGGACACGTTGGACCATAAAATTGCCTTACAATCTTGCGCAGACTTCAAGGAACAGACACATACTTCCGAAGTAATACTTCCTTTTCCATTCAGATTCGTATTCGCACGTTCTGCAAAACAAAACATGTCAGCAAACGTTTTCAAACCAGAACCCTTTCTGCCACGAATTGTGGCTCAACAAAACCTGTGCTGGTCAGAACAGAGATGCCCTCGAAATGCTTCCACAAGTCGCGCAAAGTCAGAACCTGCAAGCCCTGGTTGCGAGGATGGGCTGCATCAGGTCCCATGAATGGTTTGCAGTGGATTTGTTTCCAGTACTCATCCAAAGCTTCCGAAAATGACGTTCTGCGATATAGCCGCTGGATCAGCCACGCCACCGGAAAATGCAGAAGTGCAGCAGCAGCAACCAAAGGAAGGGTCACATAAAGTGCAGTAACCTTTGCAAACATGTTTCTCCCAAGCAAAACACAAGACAGTACTTAACCGTAACCTTGCAAAGTAAAACACAACATTTAACTGTGCACGAGGACAACTCTTTGCAAGCCAAAGCGGCGAAAACATGCCCCACACCGTTGCCGGATATGATTGCTACTTTCATGATGACAGGTAGCATCGCTGTCACTGATATGCAAGCAGTGAGCAAACCGAGCAGGTAAACAAAATCGACGGCATGCAAAGAGCCCTTGCACGTAGCGCAATCAAACGGGGGATTTGTGTCTTGAAGCAAAAGCTTTCTGCGTGCAATATTGCGCACTTTGATTGCATTGGACTTCTTCCGATCATAGTCTAGCCATATTAATCCTGTTCCCCTTGCCCGATAACGCACCCGCTGGTGCACCAATCGAGACAGGTTTTTATGGAGATCAACAAGAGGACCTTGAACTGCAAGCTTGAAAGTTCTCTTGCTTTCAGTTTGTGTTGGATCTGCCAAATCTGACTTCGCATCAAGGATCATCAAAGGAGCGTGCAAAACCTCGAACGCAAGGAAGGTCAAAATGACCACGACGGCTCCACCTGTCAAGAGTGTGATCAGCTCCGTCTTCTTGCGTGGCAGAACATGGCAAACGTCCTCGTTCCCATCAGACCAAGCATTGAAGATTCCACATTTCGGACAATCGCCATTCTGAAAGTGGAAGTGGGGCTTGCCTCAGCTACTGCTCAGTGGGTGGCCAGGGTTAAAGAGAAACAAACGAATAGAGCACCGCAAAAAGTCATGAACAGTAAACGTGTTGCATATGGCACAATGGTCAATTGATCCATTGAAAGAAGAGTTGCAGAACATGCACGTCTCGAAAGTGCTTTCCAGCGGCACCATATCGACATCGCGGAAGCGCTCGGTTGCAATCCTTCCATCTTGCAGCTGCATCCAGAAGCTTGAAACTTTAATATTGTTCAGGAAACGGGATGTCTTCTAAACGCTCCAAGAGAATGCTTACTTATGCTTACTTGTGGCTCGATCTGCTCGCTGATTTGGCTTTCAAAAATCTACTGCTGGGAAAGCTGACATGAAGAAAAAAATAAAACCAGTGAGCTGAGAGTCTGGTAGTTGGAACACTCGCATCGTTGCGTCAAGCCTTTTGACCTCAACGTGGTTTCCAGGAACTGCATTAGGCTGAAAACGCACTGAGAATGACACGGCATGACACGGCAATATAGATCAATAATGCACAGGAAAACTGCATCAGCGAAAGAAGGAGACATCGAGGCAGAATCTGCACTAATTCGAAACATGAAGGAGCCCCAACACTGCTAGCCGTCTGTTGAATTTGTTGAGGCAGATGCGACCAAGCGGCACTGTGACTGTCCGGGAGCATCGGAGATGTTCAGAGCTCACGGCTTTGAGCGTTCCGTCCTTTGCAGCGTTGAAAGTGACGCCCCAGGCGCAGTTCCGGCAGGAAACGGTCAAGGAGTCGATCTTGAAGCCTTCCTGCTGGAGCTTGAGATGATCAAATCCAAACGGAATTTAAGTATTAATTATATAATAGACAAAGAGTTTTCACATGTTTTGACACACAAAGTAGAAGCTTTGCGTCAAGCCAAACTGAATTCTACCAGTACAAACACACCTGGGGTTGCACGGTGCTTGCACAAGGACACAGACTTGACGTGTGGGAAGAAGCCGTCAGACGTCGGCTTGCATGTATGCAATGACACCGTCTAACACTGATGCTCTCCAGCGCGTCCTTGGCAGCTAGGACCTGCAAATTGTTGACCGCTGGCTCGTAGTCGACACTCACTTGGTCGACTACCACAAAGCTTGGGCGGGTGCTGAGCAACGTGCTGGACCAGGAGTGCAGGTGGATGCCTGACAAACGTACCTCCTCCTGCGGGCAGGCTGCAAGGGATAGAAGACCCGAACTCAAGCGACCACTGGCGTTGAGGGCTGAATCCGCTGCAACATGGAACGTGCTGTTTGAGCAAACATCAGAGCATCCACTATTTTGTAGCTCAACCCCATGGCCGCCGACGACACCTTCAAAAAGAACCTGCGACCGATCACGCAGTCGGAGGCAGCTTGCTGCTAGCACGCTGGAATTGTGGAGACCTTGAGCATGTTTCACCACCAAGTTGGACTGAGACGAAATAAGCACTTGACCATGTACACGCCCTGCAGAGCCTAATCTCAGTGCTGTAGAGTTGCTGGTGGACATGGACCCTTTGTTCAAAATCAAACCAACCACAGAAAAAGCACCACCGTCTGCCCCTGCATGGGTACTAGAGAAGGTCACAGTGGATGCATTGACAAATGCAAAGCCTCCTGCAAAGAACCCTCCTCCAAAATGCCAGGCCATGGCATTTTGGATGCTAACTGTGGAATGGCTGATCAATGTCCTGCCTTCGGCAAAAAATCCTCCTCCATGTTTTCCAGCAGTCGCATTCCGAATGATGAGTCTTGACCCAGTGGACATCTCCAAGTCCCTTTCCACATAAAAACCCCCACCGTTTCTGGATTCAGCGCAGCTGTTGGAAATGTTGACTGTCGAATTCCCAGCTATCTCGGCCTCTGCAAGACACTTGAATCCTCCTCCATGTTTTTGTGCGGTCACGTTCTGAAGGCTGACGGCTGAGCTGTTGGTCACCTGCAAGCGTCGGTCGGTGTTAAAGCCTCCACCCTGTGCTTCTGCAGATCCTGAATTGGAAATGCTGACACTTGACATCTCATCAATGACAACCTCGTCCAGTGAGTTGAAGCCTCCACCAAACTGCCGGGCTGTTGCCTTTTCGATGCTGACTGTGGAACGGCTGATCAACGTCCTGCCTTTGACATGGAATCCTCCTCCGTGGTTTCCAGCTGTCGCATTCCGAATGTTGAGCCTTGAGCCTGTCAACAGCTTCAAGCCTTTTTCAGTGTCAAAACCTCCTCCATCTCCTGATTCAGCGCGACTGTTGGACATGTTGATTGTGGAATTCCCAGCTATCTCAACCTCTCCAATGGCAAAGAAACCTCCTCCACTATCCCTGGCAATCACATTCTGAAGGCTGACGAATGAGCTGCCACCATTGTCAAATGCCAGAAAATCTCCAAGAAGCTCTTGGGTCATGGCACTTCGGATGCCAACTGCAGAGCTGCTGATCAAAACCCTATCTCTGGCATAGAAGCCTCCTCCAAAACTTTCAGCCACCGAATTTTGAATGATGAGTCTTGAGCCCATCAACAGCTTCAAGCCCTTTTCAGCATAAAAACCTCCTCCATCTCCTGATTCAGCGCGACTGTTGGAAATGTTGATTGTGGAATTCCCAGCTATCTCAACCTCTGCAGAACACTTGAATCCTCCTCCATGTTTCTGTGCGGTCACATTCTGAAGGCTGACGACTGAGCTGTTGGTCACCTGCAAGCGTCCGTCGGTGTTGAAGCCTCCACCCTGTGCTTCTGCCGATCTTGAATTGGAAATGCTGACACTTGACATCTCATCAATGACAACCTCGTCCAGTGTGTTGAAGCCTCCACCAAACTGCCGGGCTGTTGCATTTTCGATGCTGACTGTGGAACGGCTGATCAACGTCCTGCCTTTGACATGGAATCCTCCTCCACGGTTTCCAGCTGTCGCATTCCAAATGAAGAGTCTTGAGCCGGTCAACAGCTTAAAACCCATTTGAGCATAAAACCCTCCACCGTCTTCTGATTCAGCGCAGCTGTTGGACATGTTGAATGTGGAATTCCCAGCTATCTCAACCTCTGCAATACACTTGAATCCTCCTCCATATTTTTGCGCGGTCACGTTCTGAAGGCTGACGACTGAGCTGTTGGTCACCTGCAAGCGTCGGTCGGTGTTGAAGCCTCCACCATGTGCTTCTGCCGATCTTGAATCGGAAATGCTGACACTTGACATCTCATCAATGACAACCTCGTCCACTGAGTTGAAGCCTCCACCAAACTGCCGGGCTGTTGCCTTTTCGATGCTGACTGTGGAACGGCTGATCAACGTCCTGCCTTTGACATGGAATCCTCCTCCATGGTTTCCAGCTGTCGCATTCCGAATGTTGAGCCTTGAGCCCGTCAACAGCTTCAAGCCTTTTTCAGTGTCAAAACCTCCTCCATCTCCTGATTCAGCGCGACTGTTGGACATGTTGATTGTGGAATTCCCAGCTATCTCAACCTCTCCAATGGCAAAGAAACCTCCTCCATGTCTTCCAGCGGTTACATTTTGAATGAGTAGGGTTGAGCCAGTGGACATCCTCAAACCTATTTCAGCATAAAAGCCTCCACCGTCTTTTGATTCAGCGCAGCCGTTGGAAATGTTGACAGTCGAATTCCCAGCTATCTCAACCTCTGCAAGACACTTGAATCCTCCTCCATATTTTTGCGCGGTCACGTTCTGAAGGCTGACGACTGAGCTGTTGGTCACCTGCAAGCGTCGGTCGGTGTTGAAGCCTCCACCCTGTGCTCCTGCAGATCTTGAATCGGAAATGCTGACACTTGACATCTCATCAATGACAACCTCGTCCAGTGAGTTGAAGCCTCCACCAAACTGCCGGGCTGTTGCCTTTTCGATGCTGACTGTGGAACGGCTGATCAACGTCCTGCCTTTGACATGGAATCCTCCTCCGTGGTTTCCAGCTGTCGCATTCCGAATGTTGAGCCTTGAGCCTGTCAACAGCTTCAAGCCCTTTTCAGTGTCAAAACCTCCTCCATCTCCTGATTCAGCGCGACTGTTGGAAATCTTGATTGTGGAATTCCCAGCTATCTCAACCTCTCCAATGGCAAAGAAACCTCCTCCATGTCTTCCAGCGGTTACATTTTGAATGAGTAGGGTTGAGCTAGTGGACATCCTCAAACCTATTTCAGCATAAAAGCCTCCACCGTCTTTTGATTCAGCGCAGCCGTTGGAAATGTTGACAGTCGAATTCCCAGCTATCTCAACCTCTGCAAGACACTTGAATCCTCCTCCATGTTTTTGGGCGGTCACGTTCTGAAGGCTGACGTTTGAGCTGTTGGTCACCTGCAAGCGTCGGTCGGTGTTAAAGCCTCCACCCCGTGCTCCTGCAGATCTTGAATCGGAAATGCTGACACTTGACATCTCATCAATGACAACCTCGTCCAGTGAGTTGAAGCCTCCACCAAACTGCCGGGCTGTTGCCTTTTCGATGCTGACTGTGGAACGGCTGATCAACGTCCTGCCTTTGACATGGAATCCTCCTCCATGGTTTCCAGCTGTCGCATTCCGAATTATGAGTCTTGAGCTCGTCAACAGCTTCAAGCCCTTTTCAGCGTCAAAACCTCCCCCATCTCCTGATTCAGCGCGGCTATTGAAAATGTTGATTGTGGAATTCCCATCTATCTCAACCTCCCCAAAGGCAATGAAACCTCCTCCATGTTTTTGTGTGATCACGTTCTGAAGGCTGACGACTGAGCTGTTGCTCACTTGCAAGTTTTTTAGGGCTGAGAAACCTCCACCATTCTTGCTGCATCTGACGTTCTGGATGAGGATCATGGAATTCTCCTGGCCAGTTGGGGAAAATCTTCGGAATAGCATGTCTTTCAACAAGATAGCACCGGAGCCAGCAAGACACCCAAAGTGAAATTGAAAACATCATGACTGAGACAGTTCGCACTTCTTGCGCACCACCATACTGGCTACGAATGCACTGAGTGTCCCACAGAAATGTAGACATTTCCCTTGACATGGAAGCCAGCACCATACATCGCTGCAACGTTTTCGATCACGACTTCAGAGTCTCGGAACACAATCCTTGGGGAAAGTCAGTCATAATGGAAAAAGTTTTTCTCTTGCCAGTCAATGCATATGTCAAAACAGAGAATGTGTAAAGAGGAGTGCAAAAAGCGCACTCTCACAGTCCCCTGTTCTGAAAAAAAATGAGGAGGCATTGGGTTGAAACTGTGAACATCCGAAGGGTCTTATATAGCACCAGCTGCGTTCTTGACCCCACTGAGCTGCTGTTTTGTAAGAATTACTCTCCCCTTCTTTAAACTTCATCAGCACAACATAAAACGCCACGCTTATAACAACATGATCAATATGTAGCCACGCCGGCTTCTCCAATCCCTGCCCTTTTCATTTTACACATGTTCTGTGTTGCTGCTTAGCCAGCGACACCCTTAAGGGCTTCCAGGTTCTGCACTGCACTATGGACCACTGCTGGACGTGTCTATACACATCTTCGCAACAGGTTGCCTTCGATCCGTCTAGGAGCCTAGAAGAGACTGAAGTTTGATAAGATCAGATTCTGTGGCCGAACAAAAAATCTCAGCTGGCCATTTTCAACATGCTGATGAAGCGGAAATCCTCAGCAAATTCCTCGAATCCAAGGATATATCGAAATCATTGGACCCACATATTCAGACCCCACTGGATCCCACTACATCTGGGCCTGAATATGCCGCCCAGGGTCAGGTCTCCCCGAGCTGAGAAGCCACCACCATTCATAGCTGCAGTGCCTTTCACCTGGATGTTGGATCATGGGTATCTTCAGCATCCCAAACCATACAGCCAGTGGTCCACCAATCACTTGGAATCACATCTACACGACGCATCCAAAATGATATCCAAGGAGCTGTCAGATGGGATCTCGTCAAAGTGAATGACCCCTCGCTGAAAAAGGCGCCACCAGTTGCGGTAGAGTTTGGATCGGATGGACCTTCATGCCACGCTTCCACGTGAGCATCTGCAAAGTTCAGTGTCCTCAGTGAATCTTGTTCTGCTGAAGTTTGTCCAAGGTCCAACGTATGTTGAGGAAGTCCAAGAAAAAAAGGCAAGAATCTAGATGTCTTCCTGTACGTATATATAAGAACTTGAAGGATATCACCTCTGAGGGCCCTGTGTTTAACCTCTGGTGCAGGCAAGGTTCTTGGCTGCCAGGCGGAGAGAAGTCATCTGAATTCGCCTTGGGAGCCGTCCTCCATTTCTGCACGAAGTTTCTGGAAACCAACATGTGGAGGGTCAACCTACAAGTGTGCAAAGAACCCAAAAAAATACTTTTGTATGCTTTTCTAATGCGCAAGAGCGAAGCCTGGCTAGCAACAGGTCCGGGAGACAGCTTGAGTGTTTTCCAACCTCCCCACTTCACTATCAAACGCATCCAAGCAGATTTCCTCCAAGGCACCCAGTGATGTGTAGCTCCCCGGATGTCAAGGTCAAAATCCCCGCAGCCGCTGGCCGCAGCTGCGCAGGTGCCCCATGGGGCCCTTGCAGCTCGCAGAGTGGAGCTGCCGCGGTGGGCCTCGCTTTGCTCAGTTTTCACGGGGGGTTCTACAGGGCATGAGTCGGCTTGAGGGTTTCAATTTTGGAAGGCTTCGAAAGAATGGCGAAGGAGCGCCACTGACACCTCTGAATTCCAGAAAGGATGATCAGTATCAGTATATAAACTTCGCCAGGAACAAGACAAAACATCCGGGACGTTCAGTCAGTAAACCCGCAACTAAAAATATCTAGAACATATCTTATATATAGCCAACCTGCAACCAACCCGTAAGCATCGCATTCAATATTCTTCAGGTCCACTGTGACCGAGCCACTCAAGTTGAAAGCAGGACCCTGACATCAGTTTTTTCCGTTCACAAAGCTCCGCCCAGCCAATCACTTCACAGTCCTGGGAGCAGGGAACTCGCTCATGACAGTGATATTTGAGTCTTGGAAATTTCAAGAATGTATCCGGAAGAAAACAACAATACAACAAAGAACATCGATATTCTTTTAACTCCAAACCCCACCTGCAAATGTCGGGCACCCGCTACATCTGCGGCTTGGGGCGCAGGGTGGCTACCTTGCACTGCGGCAAAGGGAATCCAAAAGTCCAAACAGAAAGCTGAGATATTTTTGGGCCTCACGTGGCCAAGAAGTGTGTTCAACTACAAGGCAATAGAATACTGGGAATTGGAGTTGTGAGCTGCCACTTCAGCTAATGGCAAACTTCACTGGCAAAGATTGGCACAGACCCCAAAGTAGACATTGGCAACGCAACAAATCACCAGCACCGGCGGTGGGATGCATGGACACTGGGCCTATACTGGATATGCATGGAGCGTGTCATGTGCGTGTGACCCACATGGTTCCACTTGGGGACCCTTAGACAAAAGAGGCGACCAGTTCGAACCTGTTAAGATGTGTCGGGTGGTTTAAATTTAAAGCAAGCAGAAAACGTATCCTTAGTGTCAAAAATCCGACCGCACTCTTTCATCACTGTCAAAGGTGAAAAAAACATTACAAATAAAGAGTTCCAACTGGTGACTTTGCTGCTACAATATCCCTTGGTTAGCTAGTTAGCTCCGCAAGTTACGAGTATAGCAAAAAACATCTTCGAAAAGAAACGAGGCCAAACCTCGCGGTTGGCGCTTGAGCTGCTTGGTATAGCGACACACCATCCTCAAACCACAGCCGAGGTGCTCTGCTGTCCAAACGCGCTCCGTTTCGAGACGCGCAGCTCAGCAGAAGCAAAAACCAAGAGAAACGTTGCGGAGAGCAACTGCATGATGCGGCCCGGCATATCATGGCACTTCAAGCGGCATACCGTGGCGCTTTTTGTGGGTCAAGAATGCCACAATGCATGCTGCATCCTATTGGAGACTCTGCGACCGTGCTGATGTGGCTGAATATATCACAACATTGAGGCCATGGGGGGGAAGTTATGTAAGAAAAAATTGAGCCTATGTGATACCGTATCACACAGTTGTCCAGAAGTTCATGAGCGGCGCTACTAGGCTGTTGAGGCTTCAAAACATTGAGCCACGCAGGGCGTGCACATGCGTCAACCACAACAGCCCGATGGGCGAAGCGCAGGGTGACCCTTTCCAATGAAACTTCCTGACACTTCAGGCAGTCCCGGGACCACCCTCACACCCATTATAATAAGTAAAACCACAGCGATATTCCAGCTGGATACTGCTTGCGTTCCCGGCGAGGCAGCAGGGAAATCAGGATTAGGATTGGATCATGGTGGAGATGTTCTTTGATGATTACCGAGGGCCTAAGGACATCTTTGTCATCAGTGTCCGCGAGCATGTTCTTTTGACGAGTCACCTGCTGAAATACATTGAAATACTGCAGCACCCCGCTTCGGCATCGCTGTCCGGCTGCTGTTCTAGTGCACTTTCAGGAAAAAGTTGGGCTACGACTAGTCAAAACATTCGCGGGCCACTGGATCCTGGATGGTGGTTGCGATCCGGGATTCTGGCAAATTAATTAACCGGCAATTTACCAAGAGCATACTAAGAGCACAATTAAAATTGATCCACAGAAAAGACAAGTGAGTTTAGTGAGTTTCGTCCTTCTTGCCTGCAGTCTTCCATTCGATCCAAAGAAGCCTTCAGACTATATACGGTACCCGGCGTGTGGCCACAAACCCGAAAACAGGGCATGAATTAACATGATTCCTCGGATGAGAATCAAGAAGCTTGACATAGAAAGGTCGCTTGCACCCGAACATCTGTAGGAACAATGCAAAACCACACTTTCGCAAATGCGACGTGACACTCTGCAGGGCGCCTCATCTTTTTGTCACTGGTAGCAGAAGGTATTCAGAACGCGCTCAATTGGCCAGTCGTTCTGCAACCGAAAGTCTCCGGCCAAGGCTGCAGCGGCTGTTGTGAGCAGCTCCTGTCGCGCCAGGTGGATGACTCCATGACTCCACTTTAGATACTTTTGCAGAACCCCATTTTATGTGGGAACCAAAAAATGGATGCACCATATTTTTTGTGTCAGGTTCAATGAGAACATCATCCTGCGGCTCCATTCTTGCAGTGCTCCAAGTTGCTTTTCAGGAGCAATCAATGGACATCCTCTGGTTTCCGACATGTGCAAAAAATGAACTACGGAAAACTGCATCTAAAGGAAATATACCGTTTGTTGAACTATCCAATTATCAATTACAATATTATCCGAGATGATATCCCATTTCTGCGAGACACATCCCATTCTGCTTTGAACATTTGCGGGTTAAAGCTTCGTGTGATGGTTGCCGTTTTCAAGCATCAACTATTGTTGTAGGCGCTTATTCTCGCTTCCGTGGTGACATATTGTGACCATGTCTTGTTGTGTCTCCAACGTGTTCCTGTTGTTTGATCAAATCATAGTTGGCATAATTCTGCCCTAATGACCCCATCATAAAATCCGAACCATTTTGCACGGAACAAGTTACTCCAAGTTTATTGTCTCTTCCCTCCCTCACCATGTTACCATGGTTGTTATTACAGAGAAGACCCAACATCGCCGATCCTGCGGGGGTGGCGTCTTTGGCCACTCTTTGGTGCAATGCAACGGCCGTAGCTTGGGCGCCTGACTTTGGCTTCGAGAAATGCCACTGATCGGGTTCGAGGGTAATATCTAACCCGCCAGAAAAACGAAGGTCAACTCAGCTCATGGATAGAGAAATACACTTGAGAACGGTATTATGACGTGAATCAACATAGCAACAAACAAAACTGGGGATAACCCCCGGATCCATGATGGTCCATGGGTATAAGCCTGGTTCAGTCATGTCAATTTTCATTGCATAGCTTCTGATACACACCCTCTCAAATCTCTCAATAGGAACAGTCCAACTCCAATATATCCTGCTTGTAGTGTCATCCCCTTACCTCCAAATATTGGATCTTGGTATTCGAAACCCGACTTTCCATCCAGTTGTCCCCTGCCTGATGGCGAGCCAATGCACACAATCCAGCTGGATCATCCTCAGGAGAAGCAACACACGAATGTCACTCAGCAAGATCATGCTGGAAAGAGAAAATAACACCGATCCAATAGTAAAGACATGTAAAGACCAATCATGGCCAAAGTCACTGTAGAAAGTCAAATGTTATTCTGATAGTTTGTTGTAGCCAAAACATGACAGAAACTATATACATGAAACATATTGTTGAAACTGTCAAATGATTGAATGGAAACCAAAGAAAGCTGAGGGGCAAAATCCCAAAATGAATTTCTCAGGTGCAATGCCACCTTTCTCAGGTTCAAACTACGTCAAAACGTTTCTACAAGCCGTTGTGACAGTTGAGGAATCGGCAACAAGACACAGCAAGAAAAAATCTCTGGACGACTTTTCGAATGGCGAAGAAATGCCAAGCCTTTTTTGCTGATAGCTGTGGGTCAGCTCTGACGAGTCACGGCCTTGTGCGTGCTCACTGCATGTACAAAATTGTCTACATGGAAAAGATCTGACGCCTTCCGGAAGCAACAAGTGATTTAAAACTCTCGTCACTGAGGCTTACGACTGTTGCGCTGCCCTGGCCCAGGCTATCGACAAGACTTCCAGTTGCTTTTTCCACGTTGGCCAGATTTCGCATCAGCATCTGAGCCATGAGCTTTCGAATTTGATCATCCATTCGCTCAAGGCTTCCCAACTCGGAGATGATGTAATCGAAGATGTCTTTCCTGACATGTTCCCAGCATGAACCCATCGGGTTGCTACACCTAATCCACAATATCCAAGCAAATCGGAACAAAACAACCCTGAAAGTCCCAAGACCAAGACCCTAAAAAGAACAGCCGCTTGCAGAGTGGGACAGTAAGGATTTTGGAAATATATGCCAAATGATTTCAAGGCAAAGAAAGTCATGGAAATAACGAGTGTTCACGGCCGAATGCGTCATGAAAGGACAACTAGAGCGTGTTTTGATCAATCACTTTGCTGAACGGCTGTCAAGCTTGAACAATCTTGGAAAAACGATGCTCAAGATTGCTCAGGATGTCTCACGTTTTCTCACGATTGTAATACATACCTCATGGGTTTTGAGGCACAATTGTCAGGTATTTTTGAACGTACCTTGTGGGTCCTACTCACTAGAACTCACGCTTGAGAAATCTCCCACTGGTGATCTTTGCATTGCCATCGTAAGTTTTAGTTCAGTAGGCCTAAAAAAGAACTTTCTACGGTGATCCCTACCGTACTTTTTAGTCCAATCGTCACAAGTACTAAAAAGTACCTTTTGTGGCCACTTTTAACGTTTCATAAGGCTATTATAAGACCTCAAAATTCCGTCCAATAGGCTTTTAGGGAAAGTGACTGAAATTTCATCAGAAACGATATGTGCCGATTTGGTTGAAGTATGTTGACGTCGAGTTTCTTGTCTTTCTCAGAAGATGCCCCACACGTGGCGACTTGCAGAGACTTTATTTTCTTACCCACCTCCAACGCAATGTCAAAAGAGCTGCAGCCATCCTGTAGCAAAGGGCATGTTGGCATGTCATTGCATGTGCATATATGTCAAGCATAGCTAACACCACATTATTTCGTAACGTTCACTTACCAAAGCAAGGAGTTACATCACGTTCGACACATGTCGAACCACCTGACCAGCCGGCTTTCAAAAGGGTTCTTGAAATAGGTCTTTATAAATAGAACCTCACCACACCCAAGCAGGGACAAGAATTTGCCAACAACATTTGCACTTGCAAAGCCGAAAAGGTGTTGTTTGGTTCATGGATGGAAAAGAGCATTGATTGGCTACTTCGAGACAGACCTGCTCGTGCCAAGCAGCATCACCTATTACTCCAGCGTTGGTGACAAAAACCAACTCCAAGTGCTCACGGCTTGACAGGAGAAATTCGAATAGACACCAAACTCCTCAGCACGGAAGTCCCTGTCTTTTGGGCGAAAATGCCAAGAAACAGAAAAGAGCGCCAGAATGACAAGTACATACGAGTACATACAAGTCATACAAGTACATACAAGTACATACAAGTACATTGCAGCTGAATCCCTTCGTGACATGTTGGTCGAGTCACTTGTGAGAGGCTGCACTTCCTGGTCCAAGACCATCGCAACTCCTTTGATTCCCGCAGTCAATGTTCGCGCAAAGGCGCTCTCCATGGGATCATTTCCCAAGTCGGCTCCAATGTTCCACTGGTTGTTCGCCTGGTCAAAAGATTGCATTTTTCATGGACCTCAACACAGTCTTCTCGCCTGCCTAGAGGTCCATCTACAACATCACGTATGTTCCACCGCCATGTTTGAGAAGCAACTATGAAAAAATGTGATGGGCTCATGTTCTCCTCCAAGATGCAAACGAGCAAATCCAATATGCTGCATCGACCCAAGAAGTGGGGCCCTCTTTGGACAGAGCATGGCACTGGATGGACTGCACAAAGTGCGGAAAGCTGGTGCCCCAGGAATGGGACCTTAACCCAAAAACCCTGGGAAGGCTTGGGCAAAACAAGGTGCACAAAAGCTGGAAGAACCGGTTCAATCAAAACTTTGCCCACAAAACAATGCCAAGCGACACAAAATAGTCTACCCGCCTGCCACCCCAAAGAGTTACAAAGGAAACTCCTTTGCTTTGTGTCAGAGGCGTCACCATGTTGGCAACCACAAAGTGCATATTGCGCTCCAGAATAAAACCTGACTTGGACATGTTGGAACATGAATTTTGTCTGACAATCGTTTTCAGGCTTGAGGATAGACATACTCCATCTGCCCGTTCAGATCCATGTCATATCAACAAACGTTTTCGAACAAAAACCCATTCAAAGACAAATGCAGCTCAACAAAAGCTGCTGGTGAGAAGAGAGAAACTCTCAAAGTGCTTCCACAAACCTCGTAAAGTCAGAACCTGCAAGCCCTGGTTGCGAGGATGGGCTGCATCAGGCTCCGTGAACGGCGTGCAGTCGACCTTCTTCCGGTACTCATCCAAAGCCTCCGAAAATGGCGTTCTACGATATTGCCGTTGGATCAGCCATGCCACTGGAAAATGCAGCAGTGCAGCAACAGCAACCAGAGGAAGTGCCACATAAATTGCGGTGACCTTGGCCAAGAATGTCTTTCCCATCAGAAACAAAAACAAAACGGAATTAAACTTAAACTAGTGCTTATCTGTGCGCCAAAATAGCTCTTTGCAAGCCAAAGTGGCGAAAACATGTCCCACACTGTTTTCGGATATGATTGCCACCTTGATGATGACAGGTAGCATTGCCGTCACTGATATGCATGCAGTGAGCAATCCGAGCAAGTAAACAAAATCAGCGGCGTGCAAAGAGCCCTTGCACGAAGCGCAATCAAACGGTGGGTTCGTGTCTTGCAGCAAAAGCTTTCTGCGTGCAATATTGTGAACTTTGATTGCATTGCACTTCTTCTGATCGTAGTCTAGCCATATCAGCCCTGTTCCCTTTGCCCGATAACGCACCCGCTGGTGCACTAGTCGAGACAAGTTTTTGTGAAGATCAACGATAGGGCCTTGGACTGAAAGTGTGAAAGTCCTCTTGCTCTCAGCTTGTGCTGGATCTGCCAAATCTGACTTCGCATCGAGGATCATCAAAGGAGCGTGCAAAATCTCAAAGGCAAGGAAGGTCAAAATGACAACGACGGCTCCACCAGTCAAGAGTGTGATAAGTTCCGTCTTCTTGCGTGGCAGAACGTGACAAACATCCTTCTTCCCGTCAGACCAAGCATTGAAGATTCCACACTTCGGACAATCGCCATTCTGAAAGTGGAAGTGGGGCTTGCCTGAGCTATAATAACTGCTCAGTGGGTGGCCGGAGCTTAAAAAAACAATATCAGTCACGGACCCTAAACACGTCGCACATGGTCAACTGATCCAGTAAGAGACGAGTTTCAGAACATGCACGTCTGGAAAATGCTTTCCAAGGGCACCATATCGACATCGCGGAAGCGCTGAGTTGCAATCCTTGTGTTTGGCATCTGCAGGCTCAGCCTTAAACAAATAGACAAAAACGGTATAACGGTATAATGATGCTACCCAAAACTTCGAATCTTCCAGAGGAATGCTTACTTGGCGCGATCATGGGGCGATCTGCTCGCTGCTTTGGCTTTCAAAAATCTACTGCGTTGATCTGCATGCTTGCAAAACTTAAATTACAAAAAACACACGAAATCAGTGAGCTGAGAGTCTGGTAATTGGAACACTGGCAACGTTGCGTCAAGCCTTTCGACCTCAACGTGGCTTCCAGGAACTGCAAGCTAATAACACATTGAGACTGAAATGGCAATATATTGCACCTGAACTCGAAAATCATGTTCTTTGAGCCCACTGGAAATCTGCTTTCGCAAGTGGAGGACAACAAATTGAGGCAGTTGAAGAATACCGGCAAAGTATCTGCGCTAATATGAACAAAATTAATGAAGGAGTTTCAACACTGCTCGCCGTTCTATTGCATTTGTTCGGCTGTTTTGGCGCCCAAGCGGCGCTGCGGCTGTCATGGGGCACCAAAAGTATTCAGGGCTCACGGCTTTGAGAGTTCCGTCCTTCGTGGCGTTGAAAGTGATGCCCCAGGTGCAGTTCGGGCAGGAAGCGGCCAACGACTCGATCTCGAAGCCGTCCTGTCGGGACTTGAGCTGATCAAATCCAAACGAAACAAAAGTATAATAGAGTACAGAGTTTTCACAAATTCAATGTTTTGGGTCAAGCACTACTCGTATCAAAATTGGCCAAACAAATGGGTATGCCAAATTGTTTGGGGAATTGGTTTCTATTCCGTTCTTTTCTGTTTTGATCTAGAATCTAGAGGCTAGGGTTCTGCATGAAATGTTGCGCAAGGGCCATGTTCTCGACACTTTACACTGCTCTTTGCAATTCACACTATGAATACTACTGTTTGTGGCCGCACTTGGGTTCATTTAAGGTTGGTTTCGAGTTTCGGGTTTCATCAGGGTTGGTTTAACATTTACAGAACGGTTTGTTGCCAGCTCCCAAACTACTAATTGTTGAAATATATATTTATAATATTCATGTTTTGTCAATATATCATATCATACATGTTCTGAAGTAATATTGGTTCTTTGTTGTCCATGCACAAACCATTTCTATTGGAAATGCAACCTAAATTGGTTAAAACCACACACAAAAAAACAAAAAAACAGTTCCAAACTAGTCTGAACATGGCTAAAACCAAGTAGTCCCCCAAACATTACTTTAATTTGTGTTGTTTCAAGGTTTTGATCCCGAGGATTAATCCAGATTAGTACAGATTCTTCCAAACCATCTGATTCATTTTGTTTTTCTGGCATCATGTATTTGTCAAATGTATCCTTTGCACACCGTTATTTCATAAAATGTTTGCATGATAAACATGCGCGGTGTTCTTTAGCGATGTGCAATTTTCCATTTAAGGGATGAAACCTTTGGGGGTGTGTGATTTTGTGAGTGAACAATTTCCTGTTCCTTTCCAAATAAAATGCAATTGGGTTTCTCAAGGATCATCAAATGCATATATATATATATAAATTATATATATATTCAAACATATCGGATAGCTAAAAAATAATTTGGTGAGTGAAATTGTTCCTTCAAATGAATGGGCAGCATTTCCAAAGGAAAAAACAAGGACTTTTCAAAGAAATGGTGTTACTTGCCAAATGCGGGATAACCGTTTTTTTTTGAAACGGGTGTGACATTATTCTCCTTTAACGAAGAAATGGTGACGCCTTCAAACATAGATAAAAATTGGGTTTTGAAGGGAGTGTTGCTTCTTTAGTAGGCGCGTTTCAAATTTTGCAACAATATACACTTCATATTCGGCAACAATACTGGTTCTGTTTTTTAAACAAATGACTGCCGCTTTAAGTGATCAAGTATGCCTTGAAAGGAAAGCATGTTTGTTTGAGGAAATAGTTATTTCAATCATTCAAAAAGGAGACACGAAGAGATACTGTACTTAAAACACAATGCAGATCAATGCAGATTGTAGAGAACTAGTGTCTTGTTCAAAAAGGGATTGCAACCTTCAAAGGGATTCTTTACCTTTATGTAAAATTCCGCGCTAGCTCCAAAAACCATCTGTTTATCAAGTGAAAATTGTTTTTTCCCCGCCTGCCAGGTGAGGGTTGTTAGATTTTATGTCAGCTGTCCCGCCTTCTCCTCCTTCTCCTTCTCTGCCGGACCTCGACTCCAAGCGCTAAATTGCAGTGTTCCCCGCTGGACCCAAACAGCAAGCTCAGGAGCAGGACGATCCCTGCCGGACCCCAACTGCAAGCGCTACATCGCAGTGTTCCCCGCCTGACCCGAAAGGACTGCTCAGGATCAGAGTGTTCCCCGCAGGACTTCAACTGCAAGCGCTAGATCGCAGTGTTCCCCGCCGGACCCGAACAGCAAACTCAGAAACAGAGCGTTCCGCGCCGGACCTCCACAGCAAGCTCAGGATCAGAGTGTTCCCTGCCGGACCTCCACCGCGAGCTCAGGATCGGAGTGTTTCCCGCCGGACCTCAACCACAAAGAATCTCCGATTATATACCAGATAGAATGCCAGAAAAGAATGTCAGAATAGGTGCTGGATAGATTGCTGCCAGATAGAACGCCAAAATCCGCCCACACCGCTTTGGCGGTGAAGGCGTGCTTATTGGGGGGCAACAGCAACACTAAATGCTCAATGACATTTGTTAATATAGCAGTCGCTATATCAGCTTTAGCTGGGGGGGGGGCAAAAACGGTTTCGCACCGAGACCAGACCCCAAAAACGGTTTCGCACCGAGACCAGAATACGGTGGTGTTTTCGACATTTTTCGAGGATTTTTGGGTGTCTGAGCGCAAGAGGGTATTGAAATGGAATTTTGGGTCATTTTGGTAGCTTTCCGGCAATGGAAAAACGGCCAAAAATGAAAAAAACATTGTACATAGCAAGATTTTGCAGGGTTTTTGGATGCCAGAGCATTGAAAACACTGCAAAAACAAGTGTTTTGGACTGACGTTATAGCAAAAAACGTGTAAATTACCGTATGCTTGACTGGAAACATTACAAAAACACTGTCAAAAGCAATGTTTTGGAAGGATTTACTGCCTTTATGGCAAAAAACGTGTAAATTACCGTCTGTTTGACTGGAAACATTGGAAAAACACTGTCAAAAACAATGTTTTGGAAGGATTTCTTATTGAAACTTCTTAGCTTGAAGAGCCCCCACGGGGGAAAACCACCCTTAGCCCCTCTCACGGACCGAATTAAACCTGCGGTGTGGGCGGCCACCCCACGCGAAGCGGGGTGAATATAAAGTCAGATAGATAGATTGCCAGATAGAATGCCAGAATCGAATGTCAGAAGAATATACCATATATTCAGATGATGTGTCAGAAACAATGACAAATAAGTGTCAGGGTGGGGATCACTCGAAGTAAAGTAATTTTGAAAGAGGGGGATACTGCATATTTGGGAGAGAAACCGCACTTCTTTGAAGAATCTCATCTCTTCACAACATTACTAGACATGTAGCACAGGTGCAAGACTTAATAGATGAGATAGATACATGCCACATGCCCCTCTTTGGGCAATTGCTGTGCTGTGCAATTCAAACTACAAGTCTTGTTCATCTAAACATTACATGCTCTTCCACAGTCAAGAATATAGTTTCAAGTGGGAATGATTGCGCCATAGCAGGGCATTGGTGTGATAACACCTCGGGTAACCAATCTATTAAACATACCCACAGCCTGTTGAAAACACCAAGGAGCTTCCTTACTTGTCTGGCTGAAGGCCTTGTGCGCTTTCGAAGATGGCTGTTTCACCGTATAGGTTGACATTACAGTAGTGTATCCCCAGGCTTCGAACCAGTATATTTCCCATTGTCATGCTGCTTGCTACAGAAAAAGGCCGGATATATATATATATATACAGTAACTGTTATTTATTGTTTGTGAAAACTACATGACCTGAACTTACCCACTGCAATTTTGCATTTTTTGTCACACACACATATTCTACTGTACGTAATGTCTCAAAGTGGAGATGTATCATGTTTTTTTCTTCCTGGTTCGTATATTCATTATTCAATGTTTATTTAAAGATATTTAAGGTTGGTTGATTGTCTCTTGAGGGGCGGTTTAGGGTTTGCTTTGGGGTTGGTTGGGGTTAGTTTAAGGTGTCATTGCAGTTGATCTTGGGTTGGTTTAGGTTTCATTTCAGGGTCGGTTTAGGTTTCGTTTTAGACTTAGGGTTGGTTTAGGACTAAGGCTAGGGGTTACCTAGGGTTGGTTTATACCAGTAGTACCCGCACGAGGCGGGGCGGAAGCTGCTTAGGGTTAGACTATAAAACCTTTCTCGTGACTTGCATGCCCCGTGCGTGCGTGGGCTACATAGAATTGGCACCGGTAGGCCTGGCCAGTGCCAATTTCCTCAAAGCCAAACTTTTGGCACTAACATTCAAAGAACCAAAACTGAATATGGGATGAAGAATTGGCACTGGCCAAGGTGGACAGTGCCACCAATTCTTCATCTCATAATGCAATATGGTTCTGATTCTCTGTTAGGGCAGGACCATTTTCTCAAAATCTATTTTTGGCACTAACATTCCAAGAGCCATAACTGAATATGGGATGAAGAATTGGCACTGGCCAAGGTGGCCAGTGCCACCAATTCTTCATCTCATAATGCAATATGGTTCTGATTCTCTGCTAGGGCAGGGCCATTTTCTCAAAATTTATTTTTGGCACTAACATTCCAAGAGCCATAACTGAATATGGGATGAAGAATTGGCACTGGCCAAGGTGGCCAGTGCCACCAATTCTTCATCTCATAATGCAATATGGTTCTGATTCTCTGTTAGGGCAGGGCCATTTTCTCAAAATCTATTTTTGGCACTAACATTCCAAGAGCCATAACTGAATATGGGATGAAGAATTGGCACTGGCCAAGGTGGCCAGTGCCACCAGTTCTTCATCTCATAATGCAATATGGTTCTGATTCTCTGTTAGGGCAGGGCCATTTTCTCAAAATTTATTTTTGGCACTAACATTCCAAGAGCCATAACTGAATATGGGATGAAGAATTGGCACTGGCCAAGGTGGCCAGTGCCACCAATTCTTCATCTCATAATGCAATATGGTTCTGATTCTCTGTTAGGGCAGGACCATTTTCTCAAAATCTATTTTTGGCACTAACATTCCAAGAGCCATAACTGAATATGGGATGAAGAATTGGCACTGGCCAAGGTGGCCAGTGCCACCAATTCTTCATCTCATAATGCAGTACGGTTCTCCGTTTGGGCAAGGTTATTTTCTTAAAGATTTTTTTTGGGCATTATATAAAATTCAAAGAACCATAACTGAATATGGAATCTTGAATTGGCACTGGCCAAGGTGGCTAGTCAATCAATTATTTTTCATCTCATAATGCAACAATGTGGTTCTCTGTTTGGGCTGGGTGATTTTCTCACTGCTTTATTTCTGGCACCAAAATTCAAAGAACCATAACTGAATATGGGATAATGACTTGTCACTGGCCAACAGTGTCAATTCTTCATCTCATGGTGCTCTGTTTGGACAGTGTCAAGGATTGAAAATAGATTGAGTAAATTACTACTGACAACTAGCAAAGCAACAATGCTACAATGATGGATGATGAAACCGACGCTGTTGCTACACCTTGTAATTGTTCATTGGTAGTTTTTGTTTAATGACTTCAAGTCCCAGTTTACAATAATGTTTTCAGCGACTGTTTAACATGATCTTTAATTATTTGTTTAAAATGATCTTACTTACAATAATGTTTTCACTCACTGCAGCAAACAGCATTCAACCAGAATGACAAGTGCAACAATGATAAGTGCACCTTTGTGAGTGTGAACGCCTTCGTAGACTGTCCAACTTGGCCACTAGACTATGACTATTCATTGTTGAACATTTGTTTTTGCAGCATTGTGTGTGAAACTCCTAAATGCAAGATGATGCATGCCACCACTTGGCCATTACTTTTGCTACTTCAGATCTGTTAAAAGAAATTATTTTTAAAAAAACGGAACCAAAAAAAACTATCATTTTCAAAGACCAAACTATCAGAATCAATGCACATGGGTTCCTGGAATATTTTTTTTCTGGGATGGGTCATCAAAATGCCTCTTGTGACATGTCTATGTGCATTTCGACTGCGCACGCTCGCGCAAAAAGGCTGTGGCCGAAGGAACAGTGTTTGGCATGTTCCCTGTAAATTTCCGCACATAATCCCTGTTGTGACGTGTCCATGTGCATTTCGACTGCACAGGCTCGCACGTCCGGCATTTTCCCTGAAAAATTTCCGCACGAAATGCCTCTTGTGACATGTCCATGTGCATTTCGACTGCGTAGGATCGCACAAAATGCTGGCCGCAGGGTTAGCGTCCGGCATTTTCCCTGGAATTTTCTGCACGAAATGCCGCTTGTGACATGTCCATGTGCATTTCGATTGCGCAGGCTCGCACAAAGTGTGCTTCCCGGTCTTGGGATCGGTCTTCCTCCTCAACGTCATGCTCAACATCATCATCTTCCTCCTCCTCAACATCAACATCATCACCTCTCTCTCATCATATTCCTCTCATCCTCTTCCTCTCAACATCATCATCGTCGTCCTCCTCCTCATCATCATCACCACCATCAGCATCAGAATCATGATTATCATCACCACCGTCATTATCATCACCGTCACCGTCACCCTCACCCTCACCATCATCATCATCATCATCATAATCATTGTCATCGTCATCGTCATCGTCATCATCGTCATCATCGTCATCATCGTCATCATCGTCGTCATCGTCATCGTCATCGTCATCGTCATCATCATCATCATCATCATCATCATCATCATCATCATCATCATCATCATCATCATCATTCGCCTCCTCCTCCCCATCATCATCATCATCATCATCATCGTCATCATCACCATCATCGTCATCATCAACGTCATCATCACCAACATCATCATACATTATTATCCATTGACTTCCCCCACACGGTTTGGGGTTTCTTGCCGGGATAATTTATCGATGCCTTAAACATATTGCTGATATACTGATACACTGTACCTTTTTTTTTGGAACCCCATGCCCGTCTTGGAAGAAGCCGTTCGACACCGGTTTGCAGATATGCAATGACACTGACACTGACACCCTCCAGCCCATCCTTGGCAGCCAGGACCTGCAAGTTGTTGACCGGTGGTTCATAGTCGACACTCACTTGGTCGACCACCACAGAGCTTGGGCGGGTGCTGAGCAACGCGCTGGACCAGGAGCGCAAATGGATCCCTGAGAGACGTACCTTCTCCTTCGGGCAGGCTGCAAGGGAAAGAAAACCTGAGCTCAAGCGACCACTGGCGTTGAGGCCTGCATCCGCTTCGACATAGAACGTTCTGTTTGAGCAAAGAGCGGAGCACCCACTGTTTTGCAGTTCCACCCCATGACCGCCGACGACACCTTCAAAAAGAACCTGCGACCGATCACGCAGGTGGAGGCAGCTTGCTGCCAGCACGCTGGAGTTGTCGAGACCTTGCACATCTTTAACCACCAAGTTGGACTGTGACGAAATAAGCACTTGACCATCTACAAGTCCAGCAGAGCCTGATCCGAGTGCAGTGGAGTTGCCGATGGACATTGAACTTCTGCGCAAAGTCAAACCAAACACGGAAAAGGCACCACCATCTGCTGATGCATGGGCGCTGAACAAGGCCACTGTAGAATCCTGGATAACTGCGACTCCTTCAGCAGTAAACCCTCCACCACTCTGCCTGGCTGTGGCATCTTGAATGCGAACTGTGGAACTACTGATCAATATTCTCCCGTTAACATAATAGCCTCCTCCAGACTTTCCGGCAGTCGAATTTCGAATGATGAGAGTTGAGCCAGTGGACATCTTCAAGCCCTTTTCAGCGCGAAAGCCTCCTCCATTTCCTGATTCAGCGCGGCTGTTGGAAATGTTGATCGTCGAGTTCCCAGCTATCTCAACCTCACCCAGCGCCACGAAACCTCCTCCATGACTTCCAGTGGCCACATTCTGCAGGCTGACGACTGAGCTGTTGGCCACGTGCAAGCGTCTGTCTGTATGGTAGCCTCCACCCCATCTCGATTTTGAACCGGAAATGCTGACTCTTGACATCCCGTCAATAACAACGTCGTCAATTGCCGCAAAGCCTCCACCATACTGCCGGGCCGTGGCATTTTGGATGCTGACTGTGGAACAGCTGATCAAAGCGCCCCCCTTGGCATAGAATCCTCCTCCATAATTTCCAGCTGTCGCATTGCGAATGATGAGTCCTGTACCCGTCAACAGCTTCAATCCCTTTTCAGCGTCAAAACCTCCTCCATTTCCTGTTTCAGCGCGGCTGTTGGAAATGTTTACAGTTGAGTTCCCGGCTATCTCAACCTCTCCAAGGGCAGTGAAAGCTCCTCCATGACTTCCAGCGGTCACATTCTCAAGGCTGACGACTGAGCTGTTGGTCACCAGCAAGCGTCCATCCGTCTGGAAGCCTCCGCCCTGCTCTGCTGATCTTGAGCTGGAAATGCTGACGCTTGACATCTCATCAATGAAAAGCTCCTCAATTGCAATAAAACCTCCACCATGCTGCTGGGCCCTGGCATTTTGGATGCTGACTGTAGAACTGCTGATCAAGGCCTTGCCTTTGGCATAGAATCCTCCTCCAAAACTTCCAGCTGTCGCATTCCGAATCGTGAGTCTTGAGCCCGTCAACAGCTTCAATCCCTTTTCAGCGTCAAAACCTCCGCCATTTCCTGTTTCAGCGCGGCTGTTGGAAATGCTGATCGTCGAGTTCCCAACTATCTCAACCTCTCCAAGACACTTGAAGCCTCCTCCAATTTTTTGCGCGGTCACGTTCTGAAGGCTGGCGACTGAACTGTTGGTCACCTGCAAGCGTCGGTCGGTGTTGAAGCCTCCACCCTGTTCTTCTGCCGATCTTGAATCGGAAATACTGAGGCTTGACATCTCATCAATGACAACCTCATCAATTGTGATAAAACCTCCCCCAAACTTCCGGGCCGTGGCATATTGGATGGTGACTGTGGAACGGCTGATCAAAGCCCTCCCCTTGGCATAGAATCCTCCTCCTTGGTTTCCAGCTGTCGCATTGCGAATGATGAGTCTTGAGCCCGTCAACAGCTTCAACCCCTTTTCAGCCTCAAAACCTCCTCCATCTCCTGTTTCAGCGCGGCTGTTGGAAATTTTGACAATCGAGTTTTCAGCTATCTCAACCCCACCACCGCACTTGAAACCTCCTCCAGCGCCTAGGGCGGTTACATTCTCAAGGCTGACGATTGAGCCATTGGTCACCTGCAAGTGTCGGTCGGTGCTGAAGCCTCCACCCTGTTCTTCTGCCGATCTTGAATCAGAAATGCTGAGGCTTGACATCTCATCAATGACAACCTCATCAATTGTGCGGAAACCTCCGCCAAACATCCGGGCCGTGGCATATTGGATGGTGACTGTGGAACGGCTGATCAAAGCCCTCCCCTTGGCATAGAATCCTCCTCCATGGCTTCCAGCTGTCGCATTCCGAATGATGAGTCTTGCGCCTGTCAACAGCTTTAAGCTTTTTTCAATGTAAAAACCTCCTCCGTGTGCTGATTCGGCACGGCTGTTGGACATGTTGCTTGTTGAGTGTGCTATCTCAACCTCTCCAAGGGCAGTGAAAGCTCCTCCATGACTTCCACCGGTCACATTCTGAAGGCTGACGACTGAGCTGTTGGTCACCTGCAAGCGACCGTCTGTATGGTAGCCTCCGCCCCATCTGGATTTTGAATCGGAAATGCTGACTCTTGACATCCCGTCAATAACAACGTCGTCAATTGCCGCAAAGCCTCCACCATACTGCCGGGCCGTGGCATTTTGGATGCTGACTGTGGAACAGCTGATCAAAGCGCCCCCCTTGGCATAGAATCCTCCTCCATGGTTTCCAGCTGTCACATTGCGAATGATGAGTCTTGTACCCGTCAACAGCTTCAATTCCTTTTCAGCGTCAAAACCTCCTCCATCTCCTGTTTCAGCGCGGCTGTTGGAAATGTTTACAGTTGAGTTCCCGGCTATCTCAACCTCTCCAAGGGCAGTGAAAGCTCCTCCATGACTTCCAGCGGTCACATTCTCAAGGCTGACGACTGAGCTGTTGGTCACCAGCAAGCGTCCATCCGTCTGGAAGCCTCCGCCCTGCTCTGCTGATCTTGAGCTGGAAATGCTGACGCTTGACATTTCATCAATGACAAGCTCCTCAACAATAAAACCTCCACCATGCTGCTGGGCCCTGGCATTTTGGATGCTGACTGTAGAACTGCTGATCAAGGCCTTGCCTTTGGAATAGAATCCTCCTCCATCCCTTCCAGCTGTCGCATTGCGAATGATGAGTCTTGAGCCCGTCAACAGCTTCAATCCCTTTTCAGCGTCAAAACCTCCTCCATCTCCTGTTTCAGCGCGGCTGTTGGAAATTTTGACGGTCGAGTTTTCAGCTATCTCAACCTGCCCAAAAGCAATGAAACCTCCACCATGACGGCCAGCGGTCACATTCTGAAGGCTGACAACTGAGCTGTTGGTCACCAGCAAGCGTCCCTCCGTGTAGAAGCCACCACCGTTCTTGCTGCATCTGGCGTTCTGGATGAGCATCGTTGAATTCTCCTGACCCATTCAAGAAGGGCACAAGGACCAGTTGGGGGACCAACATCTTAGAAAAAGCATGTCTTGCAAGAACATGGCCCTGGGAGCCAACAAGACACCCAAAATGGAAATTGCAAAACCTCATAAGTGAAAGGCATCTGTCTGCACACCTGGCCAGTATATGGCAGCGCATGCACTGAGTGCCCCACAGAAATGTAGACATTTCCCGTGACATGGAAGCCAGCGCCATACTTCGCGGAAAAGTGTTCGATCACGACTTCAGAGTCTTGGAAAACATTCCTTGGGTTAAGAATTTCAAAATGGAAACGGGCAAAGCATTGAAATTGTGAAGATCTGAATGGTTTTAAACCGGAAGACATCCAGAAGCACCCACTGCGGTCTTGACTCTTGACCCACCGAGCTCCTGTTTTGTAAGAATTACTTTCTCGTTCCTTAAATTTTGTCAGCATAACGCGAAATGCCACACTTACAACAGCATGATCAATCCTCAATGACAGACAACGCCGGCTTCTCCAATCCGTGCCCCTTTTATTTTCCACATGTTCTGTGTTGCTACTCAGCCAGCCACACCCTTAAGGGATTTTCCAGGTTCTGCAACATGGACCACTGCTGGACGTCTCCATCCACATCTTCGCAACAGGTTGTTTTCGATCCGTTTAGGAGTCTAGAAGAGACTTGAAGAGACTGAAGTTTGATAAGATCAGCTTCTGTGGCCGAAAATTACTTTACTTCGTGTGATCCCCACTATGACATTTATACATTTTCTGACTGGCAAATCTTCTGGCATTCTATCTGACATATCTTCTGGCATTCTATCTGGCATTCTATCTGGCATATCTTCTGGCATTCTATCTGGCAAATCTTCTGGCATTCTATCTGGCATATCTTCTGGCATTCTATCTGACAATCTTCTGGCATTCTATCTGGCATTCTATCTGGCATATCTCCTGGCAAATATTCTGACATATCTTCTGGCATTCTATCTGGCATTCTATCTGGCATATCTTCTGGCAAATGTTCTGGCATATCTTTTGGCATTCTATCTGGCATATCTTCTGGCATTCTATCTGACATATCTTCTGGCATTCTTCTGGCATTCTATCTGGCATTCTATCTGGCATATCTTCTGGCATATCTTCTGGCATATCTTCTGGCATTCTATCTGGCAAATCTTATGGCATTCTATCTGGCATATCTCATGGCATTTTATCTGGCATATCTTCTGGCATTCTATCTGACATTCTATCTGGCATATCTTCTGGCATTCTATATCTGGCCGTTGAGGTCCAGCGGTGCACACTGAGCTGGGCAGGTCCCAGGTTGAGGTCCAGCGGTGCACACTGAGCTGGGCAGGTCCCAGGTTGAGGTCCAGCGGTGACACTGAGCTGGGCAGGCCCCAGGTTGAGGTCCAGCGGTGCACACTGAGCTGGGCAGGTCCCAGGTTGAGGTCCAGCGGTTGAGTGCACACTGAGCTGGGCAGGTCCCAGGTTGAGGTCCAGCGGTGCACACGGTTGCACTGAGCCCAGGTTGGGGTCCAGCAGTTGAGGTCCCAGCGGTGCACACTGAGCTGGGAAGGTCCCAGGTTGAGGTCCAGCGGTGCACACTGAGCTGGGAAGGTCCCAGGTTGAGGTCCAGCGGTGCACACTGAGCTGGGAAGTTGGCAAAGAGCTTGGCGAAGAGAGTTGGCAAAGAGCTTGGCGAAGAGTTGGCAAGGCGGAAGTGCAGGCGGAAGTTGATGCAGACATGGTCGAGGAGAAACTGGGGGAGGAGGAGGAGGACGAGGAGGAGGAGGACAGCTAGCCGAGGAGGAGGAGGAGGAGAACAACTCTGATAAAATCTAACAACCCTCACCTGGCAGGTGGGGAAAAAACATCACCATGCTGATAAAGCGGAAATCCCTCAGCAAATTCCTCGAATCCATATATATCGAAGTCATTGGACCCAAATATTCAGACCCCACTGGATCCCACAGACTACATCTGGGCCTTAATATGCCACCCAGGGTCAGGTTTCCCTTAGCTGAGAAGCCACCACCAGTCATAGCTCCAGTGCCTCTCACCTGGATGTTGGATCATGATATCTGCAGCATCCCAATCCATACAGCCAGTGGTCCACCAATCACTTTGAATCACATCTACACGATGCATCCAAAATGATATCCAAGGAGCTGTCAGATGGGATCTCGTCAGAGTGAATGACCCCTCGCTGAAAAAGGCGCCACCAGTTGCAGTAGAGTTTGGATCGGATGGACCTTCATGCCATGCTTCCACGTGAGCATCTGCAAAGTTCAGTGTCCTCAGTGAATCTTGTTCTGCTGAAGTTTGTCCAAGGTCCAACGTATGTTGAGAAGTCCAAGAAAAAAGGCAAGAATCTAGATGTCTTCCTGTATATATAAGGACTTGAAGGACATCACCTCTGAAGGCCCTGTGTTTAACCTCTGGTGCGGGCAAGGTTCTTGGCTGCCAGGCGGAGAGAAGTCATCTGAATTCGCCTTGGGAGCCGTCCTCCATTTCTGCACGGGAGACAGCTTGAGTGTTTCCCAACCTCCCCACTTCACTATCAAACGCATCCAAGCAGATTTCCTCCAAGGCACCCAGTGATGTGTAGCTCCCCGGATGTCAAGGTCAAAATCCCCGCAGCCGCTGGCCGCAGCTGCGCAGGTGCCCCATAGGGCCCCTGCAGCTTGCACTCTGGAGCTGCCGCGGTGGGCCTCGCTTTGCTCAGTTTCACGGGGGTTTCTACAGGGCATGAGTCGGCTTGAGGGTTTCAATTTTGGAAGGCTTCGAAAGAATGGCGAAGGAGCGCCACTGACACCTCTGAATTCCAGAAAGGATGATCAGTATATAAACTTCGCCAGGAACAAGACAAAACATCTGTGACTTTCAGTCAGAGTCAGTAAACCTGCAACTAAAAATATCTATAAAATATCTTATATATAGCCAACCTGCAACCAACCCGTAAGAATCGCAATATTTTTCAGGCCCACTGTGACCGAGCCACTCAAGTTGAAAGCACGACCCTGACATCAGTTTTTTCCGTTCACAAAGTTCCGCCCAGCCAATCACTTCACAGTCCTGGGAGCAGGGAACTCGCTTATGACAGTGATATTTGAGTCTTGGAAATTTCAAGAATATATCCGGAAGAAAACAACAATACAACAAAGAACATCGATATTCTTTTAACTCCAAACCCCACCTGCAAATGTCGGGCACCCGCTACATCTGCCGCTTGGGGCGCAGGGTGGCTACCTTGCACTGCGGCAAAGGGAATCCAAAAGTCCAAACAGAAAGCTGAGAGATTTTTGGGCCTCACGTGGCCAAGAAGTGTGTTCAACTACAAGGCAATAGAATACTGGGAATTGGAGTTGTGAGCTGCCACTTCAGCTAATGGCAAACTACACTGGCAAAGATTGGCACAGACCCCAAAGTAGACATTGTGGCAACGCAACAAATCACCAGCACCACCTAAGGGGTTCTAAATGGTTCTAATTGCTTCTTTTGAAAGAGGGGGTGCTACGGGGTCTCCAGCGGACACCACTTTAGATTGTTTGGACATTGGCGGTGGGATGCATGCGCCCCACATGGTTCCAATTCGGGACCCTTAGACAAAAGAGGCGACCAGTTCGAACCCGTTAAGACGTGTCGGGTGGTTTAGATTTAAAGCAAGCAGAAAACGTGTCCTTTTATGTCAAAAATCCGACCGCATTCTGTAATCAGCTTCAAAGGTGAAAAAGACAGAGGTCCAAACCATATTACAAATGAAGAGTTCCAATTGGTGACTTTGCTGCTATCCCTTAGATAGCTCCACAAGTTACGAGTATAGTCTAGTATAGCAAAAAACATCAAAAAACATCTTCGAAAAGAAACAAACGACCTACCTGGCCAAACCTGGCGGTTGGCGCTTGAGCTGCTTGGTATAGCGACGCACCATCCTCAAACCACGGCCGAGGTGCTCTGCTGTCCAAACGCGCTCCGTTTCGAGACGCGCAGCTCAGCAGAAGCAAAAACCAAGAGAAACGTTGCGGAGAGCAACTGCATGATGCGGCCCGGCATATCATGGCACTTCAAGCGGCATACCGTGGCGCTTTTTGTGGGTCAAGAATGCCACAATGCATGCTGCATCCTATTGGAGACTCTGCGACCGTGCTGATGTGGCTGAATATATCACAACATTGAGGCCATGGGGGGGGAAGTTATGCAAGAAAAAAATGAGAATATGTGATACCGTATCACACAGTTGTCCAGAAGTTCATAAGCGGCGCTACTAAGCTGTTGAGGTTTCAAAACATTGAGCCACGCAGGGCGTGCACATGCGTCAACCACAACAGCCCTAGAAGATGGGCGAAGCGCAGGGTGACCCTTTCTAATGAAACTTCCTGAAACTTCAGGCAGTCCCGGGACCACCCTCACACCCATTATAATAAGTAAAAACCACAGCGATATTCCAGCTGGATACTGCTTGCGTTCCCGGCGAGGCAGCAGGGAAATCAGGATTAGGATTGGATCATGGTGGAGATGTTCTTTGATGATTACCGAGGGCCTAAGGACATCTTTGTCATCAGTGTCCCCGAGCATGTTCTCTTGACGAGTCACCTGCTGAAATACATTGAAATACTGCAGCACCCCGCTTCGGCATCGCTGTCCGGCTGCTGTTCTAGTGCACTTTCAGGAAAAAGTTGGGCTACGACTAGTCAAAACATTCGCGGGCCACTGGATCCTGGATGGTGGTTGCGATCCGGGATTCTGGCAAATTAATTAACCGGCAATTTACCAAGAGCATACCAAGAGCACAATTGAAATTGATCCACAGAAAAGACAAGTGAGTTTAGTGAGTTTCGTCCTTCTTGCCTGCAGTCTTCCATTCGATCCAAAGAAGCCTTCAGACTATATACGGTACCCGGCGTGTGGCCACAAACCCGAAAACAGGGCATGAATTAACATGATTCCTCGGATGAGAATCAAGAAGCTTGACATAGAAAGGTCGCTTGCACCCGAACATCTGTAGGAACAATGCAAAACCACACTTTCGCAAATGCGACGTGACACTCTGCAGGGCGCCTCATCTTTTTGTCACTGGTAGCAGAAGGTATTCAGAACGCGCTCAATTGGCCAGTCGTTCTGCAACCGAAAGTCTCCGGCCAAGGCTGCAGTGGCTGTTGTGAGCAGCTCCTGTGGCGCCAGGTGGATGACTCTATGACTCCACTTTAGATACTTTTGCAGAACCCCATTTTGTGTGGGAACCAAAGAAATGGATGCACCATATTTTTTGTGTCAGGTTCAATGAGAACATCATCCTGCGGCTCCATTCTTGCAGTGCTCCAAGTTGCTTTTCAGGAGCAATCAATGGACATCCTCTGGTTTCCGACATGTGCAAAAAATGAACTATGGAAAACTGCATCTAAAGAAAATATACCGTTTGTTGAACTATCCAATTATCAATTACAATATTATCCGGGATGATATCCCATTTCTGCGAGACACATCCCATTCTGCTTTGAACATTTGCGGGTTAAAGGTGATGGTTGCCGTTTCCAAGCATCAACTATTGTTGTAGGCGCTTATTCTCGCTTCCGTGGTGACATATTGTGACCATGTCTTGTTGTGTCTCCAACATGTTCCTGTTGTTTGATCAAATCATAGTTGGCATAATTCTGCCCTAATGACCCCATCATAAAATCCGAACCATTTTGCACGGAACAAGTTACTCCAAGTTTATTGTCTCTTCCCTCCCTCACCATGTTACCATGGTTGTTATTACAGAGAAGACCCAACATCGCCGATCCTGCGGGGGTGGCGTCTTTGGCCACTCTTTGGTGCAATGCAACGGCCGTAGCTTGGGCGCCTGACTTTGGCTTCGAGAAATGCCACTGATCGGGTTCGAGGATAATATCTAACCCGCCAGAAAAACGAAGGTCAACTCAGCTCATGGATGGAGAAATACACTTGAGAACGGTATTATGACGTGAATCAACATAGCAACAAACAAAACTGGGGATAACCCCCGGATCCATGATGGTTCATGGGTATAAGCCTGGTTCAGTCATGTCAATTTTCATTGCATAGCTTCTGATACACACCCTCTCAAATCTCTCAATAGGAACAGTCCAACTCCAATATATCCTGCTTGTAGTGTCATGCCCTTACCTCCAAAAATTGGATCTGGTATTCGAAACCCGACTTTCCATCCAGTTGTCCCCTGCCTGATGGCGAGCCAATGCACACAATCCAGCTGGATCATCCTCAGGAGAAGCAACACACGAATGTCACTCAGCAAGATCATGCTGGAAAGAGAAAATAACACCGATCCAATAGTAAAGACATGAAAAGACCAATCATGGCCAAAGTCACCGTAGAAAGTCAAATGTTATTCTGATAGTTTGTTGTAGCCAAAACATGACAGAAACTACATGAAACATATTATTGACACTGTCAAATGATTGAATGGAAACCAAAGAAAGCTGGGGATTGTGGAGTAATTGACTCATACAGTCAAGGGCTCAAGTCACAGTAATTTTGGTGAATGTGAAGAAATCACTGGAAACAAATGGAACATCATGGAACGATAGTTGCTTGCCCACAGATCGTAGAAAATGTAGAAAAAGGATCCTGTGAGTTTGCGCAGTTTGCGCAACTTGCTAAGGAAAAGGAGGAGTCAATAGCCACTCTGAAGACATGTCCAATGGTGAGGGGCAAAATCCCAAATGAATGTCTCAGGATGTCTCAGGTGCAATGCCGCCTTTCTCAGGTTCAAACTACGTCAAAGCAATTCTACAAGCCGTTGTGACAGTTGAGGAATCGGCAACAAGACACAGCAAGAAAAAATCTCTGGACGACTTTTCAAATGGTGAAGAAATGCCAAACCTTTTTCGCTGTCAGCTCTGACGAGTCACGGCCTTGTGCGTGCTCACAGCATGTACAAAATTGTCTACATGGAAAAGATCTGACGCTTTCCGGAAGCAACAAGTGATTTAAAACTCTCGTCACTGAGGCTTACGACTGTTGCGCTGCCCTGGCCCAGGCTATCGACAAGACTTCCAGTTGCTTTTTCCACGTTGGCCAGATTTCGCATCAGCATCTGAGCCATGAGCTTTCGAATTTGATCATCCATTCGCTCAAGGCTTCCCAACTCGGAGATGATGTAATCGAAGATGTCTTTCCTGACATGTTCCCAGCATGAACCCATCGGGTTGCTACACCTAATCCACAATATCCAAGCAAATCGGAACAAAACAACCCTGAAAGTCTCAAGACCAAGACCCTAAAAAGAACAGCCGCTTGCAGAGTGGGACAGTAAGGATTTTGGAAATATGCCAAATGATTTCAAGGCAGAGAAAGTATGCAAATGACGAGTGTTCACGGCCGAATGCGTCATGAAAGGACAACTAGAGCGTGTTTTGATCAATCACTTTGCTGAACGGCTGTCAAGTTTGAACAATCTTGGAAAACCGATGCTCAAGATTGCTACGTCTCACGTTTTCTCACGATTGTAATACGTACCTCATGGGTTTTGAGGCACAATTGTCAGGTATTTTTGAACGTACCTTGTGGGTCCTACTCACTAGAACTCACGCTTGAGAAATCTCCCACTGGTGATCTTTGCATTGCCATCGTAAGTTTTAGTTCAGTAGGCCTAAAAAGGAACTTTCTACGGTGATCCCTACCGTACTTTTTAGTCCAATCGTCACAAGTACTAAAAAGTACCTTTTGTGACCACTTTTAACGTTTCATGAAGCTATTAGACCTCAAAATTCCGTCCAATAGGCTTTTAGGGAAAGTGACTGAAATTTCATCAGAAACGATATGTGCGGATTTGGTTGAAGTATGTTGACGTCGAGCTTCTTGTCTTTCTCAGAAGATGCCCCACACGTGGCGACTTGCAGAGACTTTATCTTCTTACCCACCTCCAACGCAATGTCAAAAGAGCTGCAGCCATCCTGTAGCAAAGGGCACGTTGGCATGTCATTGCATGTGAATAAATGTCAAGCATAGCTAACACCACATTATTTCGTAACGTTCACTTACCAAAGCAAGGAGTTACACCACGTTGGACACATGTCGAACCACCTGACCAGCCGGCTTTCAAAAGGGTTCTTGAAATAGGCCTTTTAATTGAACTTCACCACACCCAAGCAGGGACAAGAACTTGCCAACAACATTTGCACTTGCAAAGCCGAAAAGGTGTTGTTTGGTTCATGGATGGAAAACAGCATTGATTGGCTACTTTGAGACAGACCTGCTTGTGCCAAGCAGCATCACCTATTACTCCAGCGTTGGTGACAAAAACCAACTCCAAGTGCTCACGGCTTGACAGGAGAAATTCGAATAGACACCAAACTCCTCAGCATGGAAGTCCCTGTCTTTTTGGGCGAAAATGCCAAGAAACAGAAAAGAGCGCCAGAATGACAAGTACATACGAGTACATACAAGTCATACAAGTACATATAAGTACATACAAGTACATACAAGACCATACAAGTCATACAAGTACATACAAGTACATTGCAGCTGAATCCCTTCGTGACATGTTGGTCGAGTCACTTGTGAGAGGCTGCACTTCCTGGTCCAAGACCATCGCAACTCCTTTGATTCCCGCAGTCAAAGTTCGCGCGAAGGCGCTCTCCATGGGATCATTTCCCAAGTCGGCTCCAATGTTCCACTGGTTGTTTGCCTGGGCAACATTCTCAGCTCGATCAAAAGATTGCATTTTTCATGGACCTCAGCACAGTCTTCTCGCCTGCCTAGAGGTCTATCTACAACATCACGTATGTTCCACCGCCATATTTGTGAAGCAACCATGAAAAAATGTGATGGACTCATGTTCTCCTCCAAGATGCAAACGAGCAAATCCAATATGCTGCATCGCCCCAAGAAGTGGGGCCCTCTTTGGACAGAGCATGGCACTGGATGGACTGCACAAAGTGCGGAAAGCTGGTGCCCCAGGAATGGGACCTTAACCCAAACCCTGGGAAGGCTTGGGCAAAACAAGGTGCACAAAAGCTGGAAGAACCGGTTCAATCAAAACTTTGCCCACAAAACAATGCCAAGTGACACAAAATAGTCCACCCGCCTGCCACCCCAAAGAGTTACAAAGGAAACTCCTTTGCTTTGTGTCAGAGGCGTCACTATGTTGGCAACCACAAAGTGCATATTGCGCTCCAAAATAAAGCCTGACTTGGACACGTTGGAACATGAATTTTGTCTGACAATCGTTTTCAGGCTTGAGGATAGACATACTCCATCTGCCCGTTCAGATCCATGTGAACCACATCAACAAACGTTTTCGAACAAGAATCCAATCAAAGACAAATACAGCTCAACAAAAGCTGCTGGTGAGAAGAGAGAAACTCTCAAAGTGCTTCCACAAACCTCGCAAAGTCAGAACCTGCAAGCCCTGGTTGCGAGGATGGGTTGCATCAGGCCCCGAGAATGGCTTGCAGCGGATCTGCTTCCGGTACTCATCCAAAGCCTCGGAAAATGACGTTCTGCGATATTGCCGTTTGATCATCCATGCCACTGGCAAATGCAGCAGTGCAGCAACAGCAACCAGAGGAAGTGCCACATAAATGGCTGTAACCTTGGCCAGGAATGTCTTTCCCATCGTAGCAAAACAGAAAGCAGCACTTAAACTCACAAAACAAAACAATACAACACAATACAACACATATATTCTTTAGGTGTGCGCCAAAATAACTCTTTGCAAGCCAAAGCGCGAAAACATGTCCCACACCGTTTCCGGATATGACTGCCACTTTGATGATGACAGGTAGCATTGCCGTCACTGATATGCATGCAGTGAGCAAGCCGAGCAGGTAAAAAAAATCAGCGGCATGCAAAGATCCCTTGCACGAAGCGCAATCAAATGGGGGATTCGTGTCTTGCAACAGAAGCTTTCTACGTGCAATATTACGAACTTTGATTGCGTTGGACTTCTTCTGCTCATAGTCTAGCCATATCAACCCCGTTCCCTTTGCCCGATATCGCACCCGCTGGTGCACCAATCGAGACAGGCTTTTATGAAGATCAACGATAGGGCCTTGCACTGAAAGCGTGAAAGTCCTCTTGCTTTCAGCTTGTGTTGGATCTGCCAAATCTGACTTCGCGTCAAGGATCATCAAAGGAGCATGCAGAATCTCGATGACGAGGAAGGTCAAAATGACGACCACGGCTGCACCTGTCGAAAGTATGATAAGCTCCCTCTTTCTGCGTGGTAGCACATGGCAAACGTCTTTGTTCCCATCAGACCAAGCATTGAAGACACCACACTTGGGGCAATCGCCATTCTGAAAGTGGAAGTGGGGCTTGCCTCAGCTACTAATGCTCAGTGGGTGGCCGGTTTTCTTGAAAAATAATGGAACACCGCAAGAGGTCACGAACACTAAACACATCACACAGCGTCAATTGGTCCATTGCAAGGCGAGTTGCAGAACATGCATGTCTGGAAAATGCTTTCCAAGGGCACCATATCGACATCGCGGAAGTGCTGGGTTGCAATCCTTGCGTCTGGCATCTGCAGGCTCTAAGCAATGCTCAGCCTTAAAAAAATAGACGGAACTTGTAATAATGCTGACACAATTGGGGTAAACTAGATGTCTTCCATGCAAATCTGCCAAAGGAATTAATCAAATTACTTGGCTTGTACGGATCCGCTCGCTGATTTGGCTTTCAAATCCTACTGCTATACTTCCCTCGCAGTAGTAAAGCTGACATTAGGAAAAACAAACGAAACCAGAGAGCTGAGCGTCTGGTAGTTGGAACACTTGCAGCGTTGTGTCAAGCCTTTCGACCTCAACATGGTTTCCAGGAACTGCAAGTTGGAACGCACTGAGACTGTCATGAAAATATGTAGATTGTGCCTGACCTGAAAGAGTTCTGTGAAACCACAGGACATCTGCTTTAGCAAAGTGAAGGAGAAATGAAGGCGCTTGAAAAATGTTGGCAAAGAATCTGCACTAATTTGAACAAAATGAAGGAGCCTCAACACTGCTCGCCGTTCTATTGAATTTGTTGGACTGTTGTGGCACCAAGTGGCGTTGCGGCTGTCTTGGGACACTGCAGATGTTCAGAGCTCACGGCTTTTAGACTTCTGTTCTTTGCGGCGTTGAGAGTCACGCCACAGGTGCAGTTCGGGCAGAAAACCGTCAACGAGTCAATCTCGAAGCCGTCCTGCTGCCACTTTGGTTCTACAAGTTTCTGATGTTCAAACATGTCTCTGGAAACCCAGAGCCCACAGACAAACATACCGTAGTCCGACCTGCCAGACCTATTTTTTCCCACCGATATCTCAGCAAGTAGTCAAAACCCAGATGTCTGTCCGATATACAATATATCATTTCTTCACAGGATTCACAGTTTAAGAGCCGCCTGGGCTTGCTCAGGGTCTGACACTGACACCACCTGACACCTTGAGCCCGTCCTTGGCACCTAGGACCTGCAAATTGTCGATGGGTGGCTTGTAGGCGATACTCACTTGGTCGACCACCACAGAGCTTGGGCGGGTGCTGAGCAACGAACTGGACCAGGAATGCAGGTGGATGCCTGAGAGACGTACCTTCTCCTTCTGGCAGGCTGCGAGGGATAGAAAACCTGAGCTCAAGCGACCACTGGCGTTGAGGGCTGCATCCGCTTCGACATAGAACGTTCTGTTTGAGCAAAGAGCGGAGCACCCACTGTTTTGCAGTTCCACCCCATGACCGCCAACGACACCGCCAAAAAGAATGTGTGACCGATCACGCAGGTGGAGGCAGCTTGCTGCCAGCACGCTGGAGTTGTCGAGACCTTGCACATCTTTAACCACCAAGTTGGACCGTGACGAAAGAAGCACTTGACCATCTACAAGTCCAGCAGAGCCTGATCCGAGTGCAGTGGAGTTGCTGATGGACATGGAACTTCTGTGCAAAGTCAACCCACGCACAGAAAAAGCACCACCACCTGCCCCCGCATGGGTGCTGAACAAGGCCACAGTAGATGCATTGACAAGTGCAAGGCCTCCTGCAAAGAACCCTCCACCAAGCAGCCCGGCCGAAGCATTATGGATGCTAACTGTGGAACTGTTGACCAAAGCTCTGCCTTCTGCGAAGAATCCTCCTCCAGACTGTCCAACGGCATTCTGTATAATGAGTCTTGAGCCGGTGGACACCGTCAAGCCTTTTTCAGCGACAAAACCACCACCCTTTCCTGTTTTAGTATGGCTGTTAGAAATGTTTACAGTTGAGTTCCCAGCTATCTCAACCTCTCCAAGACAATTGATACCTCCTCCATGACTTCCAGCAGTCACATTCTGAAGGCTGACAACTGAGCTGCCGATCACCTGAAAACGGCTGTTGGTTTGGAAGCCTCCACCCAGCTTTTCCGATCTTGAATTGGAAATGCTGACACTTGACATCTGGTCAATGACAACCTCATCAATTGCAAAAAACCCTCCACCAACCTGCCGGCCCATGGCATTTTCGATGCTAACTGTGGACCTGCTGATTATTACCCAGCTTTTGGCAATGAACCCTCCCCCATGCTTTCCAGCTGTCGCATTCCGAATGATGAGTCTCGACCCTTTCCACACCGTCAGGTCCTTTTCAGCGTCAAAACCTCCACCATCTCCTGATACAGCGCGGCTGTTGAACATGTTGATTGTCGAGTTCCGTTCTATCTCAACCTCTCCAAAGGCAATGAAACCTCCTCCGGTGTCTTGGGCAGTCACATTCTGAAGGCTGACAACTGAGCTGTTGGTCACCTGCAGGCGTCCATTGGTGTGGAAGCCTCCACCCAGCCTTTCCGATCTCGAATTAGAAATGCTCACCTTTGTCTCATCAATGACAACTTCATCAGCAGCACAAAACCCTCCACCAAGAATCTGGGCTGTGGCATTTTGGATGCTAACTGTGGAACGGCTGATTACTGTCCTGCCTTTGACAACGAATCCTCCTCCATAGCGTCCAGCTATCGTATTCTGAATGATGAGTGTGGAGCCGGACACCGTCAAGCCCTTTTCAGCGGTAAAACCTCCCCCATCTTTTGCTTTCGCCTGGCTGTTGGAGATGTTTAGAGTCGAGTTTGCTATTTCAACCTCTCCAACGGCAAGGAAACCTCCTCCATGACTTCCAGCGGTCACATTCTGAAGGCTGACAACTGAGCTGTTGGTCACCTGCAAGCGTCCCTCCGTGTAGAAGCCTCCACCGTTCTTGCTACATATGGCGTCCTGGATGAGCATCGTTGAATTCTCCTGACCCATTCAAGACGGGCGCCAGGACCAGTTGGGGGACCAAAATCTTCGGAAAAAAACGTGTCTTTCAACAACATAGCCCTGCGAGTCAACAAAACACCCCAAATGGGAACTGAAATCGTGCTGACTCAGACTGTTCGCATCTACCTTCACACCTCGCCAATATATGGCAGCGAATGCACTGAGTGCCCCACAGAAATGTAGACATTTCCCTTGACATGGAAGCCAGCACCATACACCGCTGCAACGTTTTCAATCACCACTTCTGAGTCTTGGCTCACACTCCTGAGGGACAGGGTGTCAGAATGATAGTGTGAGTGTAAACAACAGAAGGGTCGCGCAGAGCACAAAAAGATCACCAAGAGTCACTTGCACATTCCTTTACACTGTCGTCTTGTCACCTTGATCAAACCGACTTGATCAAACCCAGCGTCTGCGTGAGAATGGAAATCACCATGTTGGTACATTGACATCCCTCAGCAAATTACACGAGTTTGATGATGTATGTGTGTGCGTGTGTCAGGTAAGAATTGTCATGTAAACCACCAGACATCCCACTGCCCCAAGAGCCCAACGACATCGAGCCCAACACCTGCACCCTGCTATGCCACCCAGGGTCAGGTCTCCATCGGCAAAGAAGCCACCACCATCTATAGCTCCAGCGCCTCTCACCTTCGTTGGATTGTGGCTTTGGAGAGTATCTACAGCATCCCGACATCGTATCAGTAGCGATTGGTCAACCGCTTACTTTAACATGCAGTTTCAAACATTCATTCATTTCTGACACCGATGAAAAACCAAGTCCGAGGAGCTGTCAGATGGGACCTGGTCAAAGTGAATGACCCCTTGCTGAAAAAGGCGCCACCAGTTGCGGTAGAGTTTGGATCCGATGGACCTTCATGCCACGCTTCCACATGAGCATCTGCAAAGTTCACAGTCCTTCGTTCGGTTTGTAGTCTCAGGTGGAAGTCTGAATTCTGAACGCTTATTGTATGAATTCGAACCCCCCCTTGTCATGCACTGTTTGTCTTCGGGAAGCAGCAGCCCAAGAAAATACTGTAAGCCCAAGAAAATACTGTAAGCCACAATGACAACTGGCCTGCAGTTAAGATAGTCAAATAGATTCAAATAGTATTATGCAATTTTTGAGCCTTCCATGCTAGCATCAACAAAGAGGAAGTTCGGTTCCATTACCTGTGCTACTGGAAGAAGTTTCTGAATCGGTAACTTTGAATTGGCTTAGTCATTATTTAGTTCTGATTATATTATGTTGAATCACCAATCATTTTTAGTATATGCCATGACTTGCCTTTACATGAGGCGAGACAGATCAGCATTGAACTGCATCTCAAACGATTGTGATTGCGATGATCTTTTTGTGAGGGATATTCAGATTGAAGAGGAAATGGTTTTGGCAGAAGAATGCCCACTGAGCGAACCTTGGGATTTGGGGAAAGGAATGCTGGCTACTGATTCTGTTTGTGCGGAGATGACCCCAAAGTTTCAAATGGGTACGTGGTACAAGCCTACTACTGAAAAGGAAACCGAATGAATTCGCAGTGAATTCCCATCCTGAATATTTTTAATTTTCCACCTGTACTTAAGCAAATCACCTTGTACAGGAGGGGGGCTACCAACCCCCATCCCCTGTGAGGTCCTGAGCGCTCAGGACCTTGTACCTCCTCACCCCAGCGTAGATTGGGGCAGGCCGTTTGACCTTGTAACCCCCTAGTTGGATTTGTTTCATCTGTAGTTAAGATAGTCACCTCGAGGTGGTACAAGGTCCTGAGCGCTCAGGACCTCACACGGGAGGGGGGCTACGGACCCCCATATGCTGTGAGGTGATTTGCTTAAGTACAGCCTTACAAAAAATATTGGTCACATTATGATGTTCAGCAAATCATCTTGTATTGAACAGCTGATTTACCAAATCATTTGAACTAATTATGAATTGTTCATTCATAATTTCATAATATTAATTAACATATATTTACACATTGTTTGAGCAAATTATGATTGAACAATTCATAATTAAACTGGTTGCAATTCAGATTGATGGGCACCGGAAATGGGAACGGATTCTTGTAACAACAGTGACTGATAATTCCTGCTGCTGGGTGACCAGGTCTTCCTTATTACATCATACTCGGTTGATGGTTCCTCCCACATTGGGTCAAATGACTTGTCACCCTATCAAGATATGATACCATTCATTATGATCCATTATTATTGATTGATTATTATAGTAAAAAGTAATATCCCACGAATTGAAAAATTGCAATGGGTGTTTTGGGATTACACTGATAATGGGTTATAGATAATCGCTATAAATCATGTGATTATGGCCGATTTTTTTGGGTTCAAGATCACGACTTCAAAGAAACATGAAGTACTATTTGACTATGCTAACACCACCCCAGACAATATCTCTGAATCTGCTGCATTCAGCCCTTTTTGATCCTTTTTGCAGGCAGGGTTCTTGGCCGCTAGGCGTAGCGAAGAGATCTGAATTTGCCTTGGGAGTTGCCCCGAATTTCTGCACGAAGCTGCAGCGCGAAGTTTCTGGAATCCAACATGTGGTCAACCAACATCGGTCTAAAGAAGATGCTGTTGTACACACCCTGGTAAGCACTTCTATAGACAATGAGGCAGCTTCAGTGTTTCCCAACCTCCACACTTCACTGTCAAACGTATCCAAACAGATTTCCTCTGAGGCACCCGGTGATGCGTAGCTCGCCGGATCTCAAAGTCAGAATCCCCGCTGACGCCGGGCGCAGCTGCACGGGTGCCCCATGGGGCCCCTGCAGCTCGCAGAGTGGAGCTTCCGCGGTGGGCCTCGGTTCTGCTCACAAGTCACAGTTTCACGGATGGTTCCGGGGTTCTGCAGGGCTTGAGGGTTTCAATTTTTTAAGCTCCGGGGTTCTGCAGGGCTTGTTTCAATTTTTTAAGGCTTCGTAAGAATGGGCAAGGAGCGCAAAATTGAACGATAAAGACAAGGCATCCGAAGTTTAGTGCTAATTAGAAGATTTCCTTCCATTGTCAAAACCACCCTGGCCGCCAATCCACAACCATCCCATTCTTCAGACCCCTTGTGATCGAGCCACTCGAGTTGAAAGCACGACCTAGCAGTCAGCTTTTTCCGTTCACAAAGTTCCGCCCAGCCAATCACTTCACAGTCCTGCAAGCAGGGGTTCGGTGATATTTGTAATTTGGGTATTGGACATTCTTGGAATGTAACCAAAAATAAGATAAACAAAAAATAACAAAAACAACACAACAACTACAACAGAACATCGATTTTCTAGCCAAAGGGTCCAAGGGTCTGAAGCGATGACACATCAGTGGTTGCTGTGTGGTCGCCAGAAGAGCCCAAAAAACACCGATTTTCTGTGAACCCAAGCCCTACCTTCAAATGTCTGGCACCCGCTCCATCTGCGGCTTGGGCACTGGGTGGCCACCTCGCAGTGAAGGAGAGCAAAACCATAAATGGAACAGAATGCTAGCTGACAGAGTTTCGATTTTGTTTTATTTTTGCTGGACTTCAGGCGGCAGCAAGTCCTTTCAGACCGTTGGTGGCTAACCGAAGATACTATACTGGCCTTGACGCTTGTGGGTTCTTGTGCGTTTGGAATGAATCTTGCATTTGTCCTGCGTTGTTCCCCACCTGCCAGGTGAGGGTTGTTAGATTTTATGTCAGTTGCTTCCTCCTCGTCCTCCTCCTCATCCTCCTCGTCCTCCTCCTCGTCCTCCTCCTTCTCGTCCTCCTTCTCCTCTCCTCTCCTCGTCTCCTCTCCTCCTGCTCCCTGCCGGACTTCAACCACGACCATCCACGCCCAGTGTGCCCTGCCGGACCTCAACCACGACCATCCACGCCCAGTGTTCCCTGCCCGACCTCAATCGCGAGTATCCGGGCCCAGTGTTCCCTGCCGGACCTGAACCACGACCATCCACGCCCAGTGTTCCCTGCCGGACCTCAACCGCGACCATCCACGCCCAGTGTTCCCTGCCGGACCTCAACCACGACCATCCACGCCCAGTGTTCCCTGCCGGACCTCAACCACGACCATCCACGCCCAGTGTTCCCTGCCGGACCTCAACCACGACCATCCACGCCCAGTGTTCCCTGCCGGACCTCAACCACGACCATCCACGCCCAGTGTTCCCTGCCGGACCTCAACCACGACCATCCCGCCCAGTGTTCCCTGCCGGACCTCAACCACGACCATCCACGCCCAGTGTTCCCTGCCGGACCTCAATCGCGAGTATCCACGCCAAGTGTTCCCTGCCGGACCTCATGTAGGAAGATAAATGTCAGAAGATATGCCAGAAGATATGCCAGATAGAATGCCAGATGCCAGATATGCCAGAAGATATGCCAGATAGAATGCCAGATAGAATGCCAGAAGATATGTCAGATAGAATGCCAGAAGATATGTCAGATAGAATGCCAGAAGAAAGATAGAATGCCAGAAGATATGCCAGATAGAATGCCAGATAGAATGCCAGAAGATATGAATGTCAGAAGATATGTCAGATAGAATGCCAGAAGATATGCCAGAAGATATGCCAGATAGAATGCCAAATAGAATATCAGAAGATATGTCAGATAGAATGCCAGAAGATGTGCCAGTAAGAACATGTATAAATGTCATGGTGGGGATCACACGAAGTAAAGTAATTTGTTTTTTTACTTTTTACAGCATTTCATGACGCTGTCTCCGTGCCCAATCGATCACGCATCATGTTCCACGTATCAGATGCTGCTTACATCACGGAGTGGATCGTTGCAAGAAGCCAATAACTTTCATGTTCACATGCACTCATGGATTTCACATTTGTACATTGATGTTGATTCTTTCGCGGAGTTGGATCAAACAGTGGTCAGCGAGTCAGGAGCAATTCGGTCATGCACGGACAATCTTTGGGCAAGTTTTCTCATGGTTTGCAAAGCAAGGCTCCAATGGGTCAGTAGATGCCATATGAAGTGGTTACCCGAGGGATCTTGAGTACTGTATCCACCTCTATACAATCATACAGTTCACTCCAAGGGTACATTGAAGAAAAGCACTGATAGTCACAAATCCAGTCACACAATCTAACCTATGACATGCAGGAACGAAGATCTTCCCTTGATAGCCCTGAATTGAACTAAAACATACTAAAACCCTATGGGCGCCGACGCCAAGGTGCCCTGCTGTCCCGTGAATGTGCTCCAGTTCAAGATATGCAGCTCAGCCAAGGCAGAAACAGAGAGAACCGTTGCGAAGAGCAACTGCATCATGGCGCATCATGGCGCATCGTGGCGCATCGTGGCGCATCACGTGATGAAGGCGTTCAATTTGTGGGAAAAGGATTGATTGCAACATGCTGCATGATATCGAAAATGTGGTTGTGGATCATGTGCCCATGTGGCCGTTTCAGCGGTTGTGGGATAACATTGAAACCCGGGGGTTAAAACTATTGAAGGAAGGCGTTAAAAACTTGAGCCATGCGAGGCAGTGATGTTTCAATGACAGCCCCTAGAGGCAAATCCTGAAACCCCACGGGGATGGCCGGAGTCCAGTCCAAGGAGCTTGTGCCGGGAAGCGCAAATCTCGTTCGACTAACAAGTCCCGGCGCACGAAGGTCAAGTCCTGGTATAGGCTGACAGCTGGGATGGGACATGTCATTGTAGCTGGTGGAGTGAAACCATATATATATATATTATATACACAGTATATCATAACAAATCTGACATCAGTCTTAACTACTGAAATCTTCATGCTCTTTTCCAAACATAAATCCACACCAATGGTTGGATGAGTCATCCTCATCTTCCAAAATCACCAGCCACCTAAAAACTTCGGCTATTTGGGGATGATTCCCCCAATCCTTACAGATCTTATGCATATACAATATATAAAAATCAATATTCAATCATTATAAACCTATGAATCTATAAATTCAACCCATAATCCCCTAGTCCCAAACTTAAAATTTCACCAACAATCCTAGACCTCCCATCCCCAACCCACTGGTCTCCCCCGGTCTCCGGTCTCCCCCGGTCCACGTCTGAAAGGTGCACCAAGGTGTAGCCCAACTGGAGACCCAAATTTCGCATGGCCGTTAAGCTGGCACCAAACAACCAGGGATGACGGGCAGCCTTCACCAAACCTGGGAATTTTGCAGAAAACATCCATGGAAGTTGATGGAAATTGTTGGATGTTTCCATTGTGAACATATGGGGGTTGAAGGACATAAAGATGTAGGAGCTTCGTCAGAAATGTCAACTGGCGCGTGCAAATCATATTTTGGCACCAGGCCCTTTGCACGTCGTGCAACGACCAAGGGGCAGAGTTGGTGAATGGGAAAAGGCGAATATCGAATCGCTAGATCTTGGTCATAAGGGATCTCCTCATCATACTCCACCACCACCTGAGACAAAGCATCCTTGAAGTCATACAATACACGGGTGGGATGAAGTTGGCTTGGAAGAAATCATGTAGGAGCAGGCCATACCCAGTATAAACATGCAAAACTGGAAGGTCTTCAATTTCCTGTTCGTGCCAACACCGAGTCCAGCAGAGCCGCAATCTTGGGACGGAAGCCATTCCTGCTGAGCTGCATCCACAGCAACCATTGGTTTCCATCGGTGTCCTCTTCAAAGAGTGAAACATGCAGGGGTTTGACGAAGGACAAAATTCAAAGGTAACCTCCGAGAATCAAACGTAGTAACAGCAAAAGATCCAAGTAATAAAAGTGCATCTGATATCGCTGGAACATGCTATAATATGTTATAATTATGTACGAAGAAAGTTGAGGTGCTGGGTTGGCAGCTACAAAACAATCCTGCAAGAAAAAACAAAGCCGTTTGTCTATTCCACCGGCAATACAGGATAGCATCGGAGTACAAGCAATAATGCATCAGAATACAATGAACATCAATGAACACTCATGACGTACAGAACAAAAACAATGGTGATGTTGGTGTTCAATTCTGTATCAGCAGCTTTTCCAGCGTCAACTGTGATATCAACAGCTTCAGTCCAGTGATAGAACATCGAAGTCCAACGGGGTGGCGTAGCGTTGGAGCAGCTCGACTACATTGTCAGGTGTCACCCGGTGGGTTGTCAGATTGATCTCTGGGTTCCAGTAGTTGTCATCGATCCTCACAACTCATCTTCGGACATGGAGTGATGGGACTGGGGAACTCTTGGATGCCACTCATGGAAAACGGAATGTCCTCTCTTTTTTCATTCCACTTCAGCAAAGGGGTTGACGCAAGATATATCTTTGCTGCGTGATGACTCACAGGATCTTTAGCCAAAACGATGGAAGACGGAACCCACAACTTTAGCCATAAAAAATGACTGTATGAATGGCTGTATGCCGTTTTCGATTGTCTTGGTTCCACTAGGTGCGCACAGTCTGTGTGGCCCTTGTGGCATGCCAGCCCTGTGGTGATAACGATCTTGGCTCAGCAAAGGTGCATCAAGCCATGAAAGTTGTAGCGAGCTCGTAGGTATCGAGTGTTGCACTGATCTCCAAGTTGAGTTCCTGCAACTGAGAAACCGACAAAATGACATGCATGATGTCACGATGTCCGTTGATATTCCACGTCATTCTTGGGCAGCTTATCTTGTTTGTCGTTGACTTTGGTCAGAACATGTCTGCATTCTATCAAGTTCTATCCATCTTGGTTCAACGTGGTGATTTGTTCAATCATCGTTGTCAGATCTGACTTGATGGATTGGACCAAACTCAAGTGTCAAGCTGATCAAAGCTGTTTAAAGATAGAGCGCAAGCCCAAAGAAATGCTGCTGACAAATCCATCAAGATCTAAGCACGCTGTTTGGTTGCCGTGGTCATTCCATCTGCGTTGGAAACATATTTTGCGGTTCATGTGCTATATAAGCTCTTGGTCGTCACCTCATGCATTTTTTTTGCTGCTGGGACGTGTGTTTTGGGACAAGAACCTTGAAACCATCAAGAACAACTTCGAGTCGTTTGATCATCCAGCCATGTAGCCCTAATTCGTCCTCCCTCTGGCTGGCTCAAAGCCAAACTGGGGGTCCAACAAGTCACTACAAGTGACTATCATCTGACTGTCTGCAACTATCATAATCCATATCTACTAATTACTGTAACGATCTTCCAAAAGCAGCAGCTGCTCATATATATATATATATATATATGATGTCAACCTCGGATTATTTAATCATGTGAGGAGGCAGCACCTCCAAAATAGTCTTCTGAATCATTCTAGATTTCTATTCAATGAGGACCTCATCATACCTCATCTACTGAAACAAACTGAGGGAGGTTCTCAAATCATATAGCATGCCAACTGGCAAGATGATTCTCCCATGAAAACCTATTACCACCTCGTCTTTTCCATAGAGATTTCCCTGGCCGAGAAGGTGGGCGTCAGCTCGGGGTCCCAGAGCGACAACGGGCTGAGCCTAGGTGGATGATGGATGGATGGGATGATTTTCATGGAATCTCCACGAGTTTTATGGCATTTTACCCCCAGAAACCCCATGGGATGATTGTGGATGATGGGATGATGGATGGATGATGGGATGATGGATGGATGGGATGCGCGTTTCACCCAATGGAAGTTCAATGGAGTTCACCTTGGAAGGTACTTGGGATTTGAGCACGCAAAACTCTGCAATTCATGGTACTTCAGAGTCCAGGAATCGAGGTAAAACTGGCATGGGATTCATGTCCGTCATGAAAAAACACACAAGTTCGTAGATATCATCCTATAGATAGATTGAGGGAAATCGGAAACTAGACGACGGATGGCCCGAGAGCGTAGAGGAGCAGGGTCTTCTCTTGTTAGTATGGAGACACAATTTTACAAACAATATATGAAAGATGTGTTATAGGCAGTCGAGAAGAGAAGTAGCAAGACAAAATAGTGAGAAGTGCAAGACAATAGTTTGCATCGCAAACACTTTTACACACAGACGCTTTTACACACGAAAGTTTTTACACACAGAAGCTTTTACACACAGAAGCTTTTACACAGAGGCTATTACACACAAAGCTGTTACCCACAGAAGCTTTTACATACAGACGCTTTTACACACAGATGTTTTTACACACAGACGCTTTTACACGGACACTGTTACACACAGACACGTTTACACACAGACACTTTTACACACAGACCTTTTTACACACAGGAGCTGCTTTTACACACAAACGCTTTGACACACAGAAGCTTTTACACATAGACGCTTTTACACACAGGCACTTTTACACACAAACACTTTTACACACAAACACTTTTGCACACAAACACTTTTACACACAGACGCTTTTACACGCAGACGCTTGTACACACAGAAGCTTTTACACACAAACGCTTTTACACACAGAGACTTTTACACGCAAAAGTTTACACACAACACAGCTTTTTTTACACAGACGCAAACACTTTTACACAGAGACGCAATTTTACCTCAGTTTTTGACGATCGAACCTCATTTCGTGCGAAAGGGTTGCGCGGACAGAAATCGCTTTCGAACCTCATTTCGTGCGAAAGGGTTGCGCCACAGACGCTATTACACACAGACGCAGTTTTTAAACGATCAGAACCTCATTTCGTGCGAAACAGTCCACCGGAAACACGAAATCGCAATTTTACCTCAGTTTTTGACGATCGAACCTCATTTCGTGCGAAAGGGACGTGCGAAAGGGTGCGCGGGACAAGTTGAAATCGCAATTTTACCTCAGTTTTTGACGATCGAACCTCATTTCGTGCGAAAGGGTTCGCCGGAAACTTGAAATCGCAATTTTACTCAGTTTTTGACGATCGAACCTCATTTCGTGCGAAAGGGTTGCGCCGGACCACTTGAAATCGCAATTTTACCGATCGAACCTCATTTCGTGCGAAAGGGTTGCGCCGGACCACTTGAAATCGCATTTTACATCAGTTTTTGACGATCGAACCTCATTTCGTGCGAAAGGGTTGCGTTTCGTGCCGTCTCGTTGCCACTGCCTCTGCTCCCGCCTTCAAGAAAGAAATAGAAAAGAAGGAGAGGGCAAGAGGGCAAGAGGGCAAGAGGAGAAGGTGTGAGATGAGAAGATGTGAGAAGATGTGAGAAGATGTGAGAAGATGTGAGAAGATGTGAGAAGATGTGAGAAGATGTGAGAAGATGTGAGAAGATGTGAGAAGATGAGAAGATGAGAAGATGTGAGAAGATGTGAGAAGATGTGAAGATGAGAAGATGTGAGAAGATGTGAAGATCAGAAGATGAGGAGAAGATGGGAGGATGAGAAGATGTGAAGATGAGAAGATGTGAAGATGAGAAGATGTGAAGATGTGAAGATGAAAAGATGTGAAGATGAGAAGATGAAAAGATGAGAGGATGTGAAGATGAGAGGATGTGAAGATGAGAAGATGTGAAGATGAGAAGATGTTTTACAGGCCCCCACTATTGGAAGAACCCTGCGCTCAGACGCTCTCGGGAAAAAAAACACTAGCCAGAAAACCATCGTTGGGATGATTCTGAGAAAGGATTGAAACCAAACAAATTGCATGTTTTGTTCGCAGAATGCGTTTCAGGGGTTGAATCAAGTTGCGGGCTGAAGGTTTTTGCTTGATGTTGTTAGTCAAGATGTGAATGGAAACCTTCGGATGTAGAACACAAACTCTGGTTTTGACTCTCAAATCTGCTTCCACCGACACCCAAAGATGGACTCAAAATACTCGCGTCCAAAACTCAGGGTTTCTTCCATGTTCCACCATGTTCCGCCATGTTCCACCATAAGTATCATATCAACAGCTTTCAACATGTTGTTTTCCTCATTTTACCCATCCAGGTAACCCAGGTGACTCCGGCAGTTGGTCAGCTTCCAAGTGCCATCGCCACTGCACCTGAAGCCCTGCAGTCGACATGGGAGATGCGTTTCATTATGTTCAAAGGTACCTAGAAAATCAAATGAGATTCACATGATCAACTCGTTTTTCATAGCTGTCATAGCTGCTAAAAAGTCAATTTAGAACATACCAAAGAAGGATATTGTGAACTGAAAGAAAACTTTTGGCTTGCACATGTGGCGAGAGCTGCGGCTTTCAAGTGCGAAACCATACGAAACCATCAATACTGCCAAACAGAATCGCAAAACCCACCAAGTTCCTCACATGTTTCCCAATTGTGTCCACCTTTTCCCAAGTTTTTTTTTCCGTGATTTTCCGTGGCCAATCCAATGTCCAGTGACCCGCCTCCCTGAAGTGTTTCGTAGGTCTTCCAAACGCCGGGAAATTCGATGCCTGCCCCAAGTCGAGGAAAACCATCCAAAGCAGCTCGTTCCACCTGGTTTTGAACCAGGCAGGTGAACAAAAAATCCCTGAGGTCCAAAATGATCCAAACATCCCTAGAGGCCAAGCAATTCGGGGTGGCCGCTGGTTCCCCCCCAAAACACACATCCAACAATGATTGAGCTGTCATTGCAGTGACGGTGTGCGAGGGGTCCTGATTTGTATCGGAATCAGGAACACCAACATCTGAATGGCCAGGGGTCAGTTTTTGGACAAAAATCAAGAGCAGCTGGCTTGTTGAAAGATCGTGTTTGATTTTCACAACACCCCGTGCCTTTGTACCTCTATTCATCCTGCAATAACAAGAAGCACAGAACAAGCCATTACAGAGCAAAGAAATGAATATGAGGCAGTGGTTATTTATGTTCCTGGACCAACCAAAGTTTAAAAAAAACTGTCCGATTGGGATTTCTGTATTGTTGGGCTACTTGGAACAACCCAAATCAAATCTGAACGTTTGGATTCAATATCTGTCGGTTTTCCCATGATAGCTCAATCTGAGTGATCAAGCAAGTGAGTTCCACCAGCTGAGACCTTTTTTTCACATCAATGATCCAGCACATCCATCAGCAGATTCAGAAATTCATCGTATTGAACTGTCGGGCATATTGCCCTAGGCACTTTTCAATTGTGCGGAGAGTTTGCGTCATAGGGTGAGTGGTGCGAGCCGTTCTGCTCACCTTTCCAATAAAATCCTCATCAGACCATGTAGCCGCACCTCACTATAGCATTGTAATCTTGTGTTTGGCAAAGGGAACCCCTTAGTTGAGAGTGAAAAAGAATCCCACAAAAGTATATTCTATACGTATACCAAGACACTTGCAGGGTTGACACTCACAGGATCGTGAATGTCAAGGGCCAAATGGACACACAAATGGTACTTTGGGCGGTATTTGTACAAGCAGTAGCCAGCATTGAAAGTCTCCGCAGCCAAGGATGCAAATGCAACCTCACTTTCGCCGACAGAACCTCATGGAAATCATACATGTGTTCTTAGGGAGACCAGACCTGTCTAGTTTTTCTTGGATTGGCCCCAAACATGTGGTGCCAAGCAGCATTCATCTCATGACCATAGGTCCGAGCAATCGTGCAGATATCCCCTACCAGAAATATACCATGCTCCCTGATGGTTCTGAAGAAAGCATTTGCGGCCTTGACCATGTAAGAACAAAGCTGAAACAGCTTGTCGTTTGGATCCACCTTCATGGTTGTAAAATGTTGTAAAGATTTGGCACCAAAAAACAAAACTTCAGATTTAGGTTGTTCCCAGTAGCCCAACAATACAGAAATCCCAATCAGACAGTTTTTTGACTTAATAGGTTGGTCCAGGAAGATTTCACGCTATAGTACAGCACAACAAATAAATTCTAGCCTCTGAGCCAGCTTCCAAGTCGTCTTGGATCCATGCCAAAAGCAGCGCCGTGTCGAAGGCCTTTCCTCCGTGGGTAATGGGAAAGGAACCCTTTGACCTGGGCACATGGACAAATGCCTGGGAGAAATTGATACACTTTTTGGAAAGCATGACCATCCCCAAAATTTGCAGGGTGTTTCCAGTAGCCCAGAAATTAGTACATGGGTCCAGCTACACAACTTTGTTTGGTCCAGGTATGTTTTATATATATATGTAATCAAATATATATATATGTAATCAAATATATATATATAAATATATATGTATATAAGAATATATATATATAATTATAAATATGTATATATATATATATAGATTTATATTTATTTTGGCATATATATATATGTATAAATATTATATATACAGTATAGGTATAAATAAAGACCATTAAGATTAGGCTCCCCATGCCAAAGGATTGTTTGGAGAACTCATCAATGGCACTCGTCCGGTGGTTAGCACGGCACCACTGGTCAAATTTCTCGTAGGCTGCAATCAACCTATTGTCAAGTTTGCGCTCATTTCCAAAGTGGCCTAAGAGGCTCAAAAGGATAATAGAGGAAGCCGCCACATCTTGGCCATATCCAAGATGGAACACATGACAGTAATCCAAAAGGATGTACTTGGGCTCGTGACACCCCGGAATATGACGGAGTGGCGCAAAGCCGGGCTTGTAGGGACACCCTCCATCACCAGAAGTGCGCCATGCCGCACTCTCTGTCGGGTTTTGCCACTCCTTCAGGGGCAGAGTGTTGAATATCGGGTCTGCATATACAATAAGAAGGAACCCAGCCTGTCAGTGGTTTTCCCGATCTTATCATGGCTATATAGAATATGGCAGCTATTTCCCATCTTTTGCGTGCATGAACTACTTGGATGATCATCTTACCTAGTAAGTGGCCAGTAAGTGGGCTTATAAGTCACATGTACATGGACTGATCTACTAGGGCGCATAGTAACCAGGTTATCCAGGATTACTTATGCAGCTACTCAGTTTGATGATCATCCAAGTAGGAGAAAAAACATTTTCCTCTCCACTGCATCGGTGACAGATTCTTTTCGATGTAAAACCCGATTCCAGATGAAACGCCTTGGCTGCGGGAAGGATGGCACTCTATTCAAATTTTGGGGAACAACGTGACCCCAAGAAGCTTGGGTGGTAAGTTGAAAACTTAAAGCATCCAGTCTAAGGGGCTTTTCGCAAGAATACCCAATCTCCTTTGGTACCAATGCAAACCAGGCGGAGACGGGTACCATTGACATCCTCAGAGGCCAAGGCAAGATGGAAAGGGCACATGGAAACACGGAAACACGGAAACACCCAACACCCACCAAAGTTCAATAGTCAAATGGGACACTGAGTTTTTTTTGGAACACACCAAGGGTCGCAAATGCCTGACTCAAAAGCATCGTTGGCTTGACGTGTCAGTTCTGCAAGCAAATCGTCCAGGGTCCAATCCCCATAATAGAGGTGACTTGAAATGCCAGTGAAGAGCCACCTCGTGGTAAACGTATGCCTTGGTCAGGACATCACCCAAAACATGGGGTTAGGATTGAACAGTTTCATTACCTGCATGCATGCTTTTGGTCAATCGAATCATGATTGGTCGAACCTTTTAAAAGGGATCAAAATTGGTACCAATTTCTCTGTAAGAAGCGAGGAATCATTGCACACCTGAAGTCCACCGTGTCCAACAACACATTGCCACGATATAACCATATAGGGTCGCTTCAACAAACCTCTTCCTTCATCCCCATGAATGTAGATGGGTATCGCGGTGCCAAAATTGATGTCATGCCCACTGTTGAAAATAGGATGATCTGGGCACACCAGCTTGTATTTCTCCCAAAACTCAACAAAGGTGGGCTGAAAATTGTCAGTCAAACAATGGCCAGCAAGTAGTAACTGGGGACAGTGGTCCAACAAATACTTGCACCAACTCTTCAGTGCCAAGATGGGCCACCAAATGGATGCACATCGAATTGGTTTCCTTAACTTCACATTCACCTTGCAGACGTCTATGCTAATTTTCAATGTGGCACCAGGGGTCCTTCGGATAAGTCGTGTAATGTCTCGGCAAGCATTTCTTTGGGACCGAAAACATCCAGCCACCTTCACCAAAAGGTTTGCCTTGATCTTACCTTGCCAGGGCCAAGAGGGATTCAATAAACAACATAAGGCCACCATAACCCAAACATAAGAATACATCCATACAAGTTAAGGTTGATGTCTTTGTACGTGATAAAAACATAAGTTCACATAGACAACCAAGTTTCATTTCTTTGTGATGCGGGTGACCATTGATGCAACCTTTGAAACTCTGCGGGCAGATTGGGCCTGAGTTGTTTGAATCAATCCATACAGTTACAACCTTTAAAGTTGGAAAAACATGGGCCGTATCAAGAAATCCCTATCCATAAATGGGGATACTGTGGAAGTCTTCAAAAAAGGGTTCATCCAAGAGTCCCCTGCCATATAGTCTCCCAATAACTCCTTTGCCAGGTCCTCACCAGCATCCTCTGCGTCAGCTTGATCATGTCTGGGATCAAAGCCTGCACTGGAGTGACATTGGGAAATTGGCGATGGGTTCGATATGTGATATTAAGCCAATCCATACAATCTATATAACATCGAGATGGTGTGTGGAAGATGTGCATTGCCAACGCCATATGATAATATGCCCCCCCAAATCATCCGGCAATAGATGGTTTAAGGATTGAAACCTAAGTGGGTCAATGATACCTGTAAGTGGCTCGAAAAGAGGCGATTCATTCAAACATTTTGACTTATAATATATATATATATATGCAAACCGTTTTTGAGACATACCCAAATGAGTGTATCTCCTGAATTCCATGAAGATAAGAAAGAATCTATTCAGATGATGTCATTAGATTTCTGAATGTATATGTATATATATATATGTCTACATCCCTCTACTATATTATATTATGTTCGACTGCCTGGCACACCTCTCCCTCAGGCAAACCAACGAGGCCTCTCAAAGGTTGGCAAATGCCACGGGTTCGGCCTGGCATCACGAGGAGACATGGGTACAATTAGATGGCCCCGGGGACGGGGCTGAGGATTTGCAGGGGGAGTTGTGTATGTCCGCACATCTTGAGCATACATTTTTTGTAGGCTCCCGCTCGAGTCAAAAGTCTTTCAAAGATGGAATCACTGCAAATCACCACATGCCAGCATGCTGTGGCCACGTAGGTGCTTTGAATAAAGCATGTACCAAACATTTTAATTTTCAAGATCTCCTGTAAATAGTTTTCCTTCAGACACCCGGCCATTCTATGCATGCAGGGGCATCCCCAAAAACAGTGAACCAAACCATAAGGGAGAAGAACTATTTCTTGCTCTTCTTGCCCTTTCGCTTCTTGGCTTTGGGGGCCTCTACGGTCTCTTCCCCATCAGTCTCAACCTTTACCTTACGTTTTTTCTTCGACTTCCCATCAGACGGTTCTGCAGCGGGCTTTGGTGCTGCTTTCGGTTTGACAGCCCTGACAAGCGCATGCACGCAGGAGAGGATCTATCAAAGTGGTGGGGAACAAGGTGGCACCATACCAGTATCTAGCCT